TTGAACTTGGCCACAGTAACCGGAGAAGGACAAACAGTGTATGTTCTCATTCATTTGGGGAATATGAATAATAGTGAAAGGGAATATAAGGGAAGGGAGAAGAAATGTGTGAGAAATATCAGAAAGGGAGACAAAACATAAAGACTTCTAACTCTGGGAAATGAACTAGGGGTGGTGGAGGGGGAGGAGGGCGGGGGGTGGGGGTGAATGGGTGACGGGCACTGAGGGGGACACTTGACGGGATGAGCACTGGGTGTTCTTCTGTATGTTGGTAAATTGAACACCAATAAAAATTAATTTATATATATATAAAAAAAACTGAAAGACAACCTACAGAATGGGAGAAGATATTTGCAAATGACATATCAGATAAAGGGCTAGTATCCAAGATCTATAAAGAACTTATTAAACGCAACAGCAAAGAAACAATCCAATCATGAAATGGGCAAAAGACATGAACAGAAATCTCACAGAGGAAGACACAGACATGGCCAACAAGCACATGAGGAAATGCTCCGAATCACTTGCCATCAGGGAAATACAAATCAAAACCACAATGAGATACCACCTCACACCAGTGAGAATGGGGAAAATTAACAAGGCAGGAAATCATAAATGTTGGAGAGGATGTGGAGAAAGGGGAACCGTCCTGTACTGTTGGTGGGAATGTGAACTGGTGCAGCCACTCTGGAAAACTGTGTGGAGGTTCCTCAAAGAGTTAAAAATAGATCTCCCCTTCAACCCAGCCTTTATGTCTTTTTCTTGAGGAGCCTATAATCTCTTTCTCCCTCTGGTGTCTGACTGCCTTACCAAGGGCCAGGCCATGGAAAGATGCTCCATTGTTCTTCCTGTGGAGAAGCCCAAGTTCTGCAACTTCTTCCTATTTAGCAGAGCTGTGCTGGGCATGCAGCAAGCCATTCTTCGCATTTCCTTTGTTCTTAGCTGCCTTCATGAACTATGTATGGCAGGTCCATTGGTGCTATGGAGGTGAGACAGAAACCAACCCCTCCGACAGCTCCCAGATAGGCCAAGACCTTTGTGGCATGCTCTACTCTTTCTTTTTTTTTTTTTTAAAGATTTATTTATTTATGATAGACATACAGAGAGAGAGAGAGAGAGGCAGAGACACAGGAGGAGGGAGAAGCAGGCTCCATGCCGGGAGCCTGACGTGGGACTCGATCCCGGGACTCCAGGATCGTGCCCTGGGCCAAAGGCAGGCGCCAAACCGCTGAGCCACCCAGGGATCCCCTCTACTCTTTCCTCTGAAAGAGGCCAACGTGATTTTTTTGTACTGTGCTGGCTTAGGGAGAGACTGAAGTAGATAAAGTGGATTGTTCTAAGCCTTTTCAACATGGTGGCTCTTGGTTTGTACTACTCTGAAGCATTGAGAATAATTTTTTTTGATATTACTTATTTATTCCAGAGAGACACAGAGAGAGGCAGAGACACAGGCAGAGGGAGAAGCAGGATCCATGCAGGGAGCCCGACGCAGGACTCGACCCCGGGACTCCAGGATCACACCCTGGGCTGAAGGTGGCACTAAACCGCTAAGCCACCCGGGCTGCCCTCATTGCAAAATCTTAACTGCATTCTGGACTCTTAAAGGTATTTTGGGCACATTATCATTGTTAAATCGGTGTCTCTGAGTGGAAATGAGAGCTGGAACTTCCTTTTCCACTATCGTGCTAATGCCACTCTTCTCTCTACCGTGAATTAAAAGTTTGTTCATTAATTTTCAGTCTTTTTTTTTAAGATTTTATTTTTTATTCATGAGAGATACAGAAAGAGAGGCAGAGACATATGCAGAGGGAGAAGCAGGCTCCACACAGGGAGCCCAATGTGAGACTCAATCCCGGGACTCCAGCATTACACCCTGTGCCGAAGGCAGACACTAAAACTGCTGAGCCACGCAGGCGTCCCTACTGTTTTATTGTTATGTAATAAACTCACTCAAAGTTCTGGTTTTCTCCTGAGAAATTTTTGGCCAAATGCCACTGATCTTTTTTTTTTTTTTTTTTTAAGATTTATTTATTTATTTGAGAGAGAGAGAGAGCACACACCCAAGAGCAGAGGGAGAGGCAGAGGGAGAGAGAAAATCCTCAGACTCCCCACTGAGCAGGGAGCCCAAAGCAGGACTTGATCCCGGGACCCTGATATCATGACTTGAGCCAAAACCAAGAGCCAGATGCTTAACCAACTGAGCCACCCAAGTGCCCCCAAATGCCACAGACGTTGAAATGGATTGCTTTAATTATACAGGTATAAACTGTGATTTACATTTATTCAGGAGTATGGTTTTTAAACATCAAGTTACACAGACTTTTTTTCAATGAGCATGTCTTTATTTTGTTCAGGTATATTATTGTGGCCAGTGAATGTATCCTGTTGGGAGAAAAATTTAATCCACACTTAAAGGTTCTTCTACTGGTCTAAGAATTAAACATGAGACAGTTTAACAAAAGAAAATCAAATTTAATTTTGTATATATGGGAACACCACAGCCATGAAAGGTTCAAAGACAGAAAGGTAAAATGAGGTATACATGCCATCATGAGCTAAGGAATGGAATAGGAGTCTATAGCATCAAAGGCAAGGAGGTCAGTGCATGAGGCAATAAGAACAGATGTTTGGTAACTAGATGTTTCCCCTGCCATACAGATAGGCCATTCAGATAAAATGTATCTCTGGTTAGGACGCCTGGGTGGCTCAGCGGTTGAGCCTCTGCCTTTGGCTCAGGGTGTGATCCCAGAGTTCCAGGACTGGGTCTCCCAGTGGGCTTCCTGCATGGAGCCTGCTTTTCCCTCTGCCTATGTCTCTTCCTCTCTCTCTCTCTCTCTCTGTGTGTGTGTGTGTCTCTCATGAATAAATAACTTTTTTTAAAAAAGTGTATCTCTGGTTATAACTCTTATTCAGGGAAAGAATCCCCCAATTTAGATTCTTCTAGGTAGTTAAGGAAGGAGCAACAGTTTCTCTTGAGTCTGCATAGTCTCAATTGCCTTCCGCTCAAAACAGTACATCTGCCAAAGCAGTGCATTTTGGGGAAACTTGTTCTAAATTCCTTTAGCCCCACCTTTGAAACTTGGAAGAAAGTTTCATAATCCAAAAGCTAAACTGATAGATTAGTTCATATCTCAATAAATCAGCCTCAGTCTTGAGAATAAATAAGTCAGTTGAGTTAAATAATTGTGTCTCATTTCAGGAGGCAGTCTTATAGGTGGGCTCCCAAAGTTAGGCCTATATTGTGCAAGCAATCAGGTAACAAAAGAAAAACAAACGTTAATGACTGGAGCAAATTATAAACCCAGGATCTGAGTCTTGAGTGCTGCCAGTGAGAAGATTTCTAGATGTCAGATGAGAGGCATCTTCAGAGAGAGCAATGGCAGACAGTGGCTATCTGAAAGACTTTCCTGATTTGAAGTTTGAATGTCTCTGGTGATCTGAGTGGCCCATTCAGTAACAGCACAAAGATCATCTAAACATAGGCTGTTGGGATGATTTCTCTGACATCGGTATCATGTCATACAGCTTGAGTTTGCCGGACTCCAGGAAAAAAAAAGGGCAGCTTTAGTTCTCAAAGATTCCAAGTCAAAAAGAAGGGAGAGGGCAGCCCCGGTGGCTCAGTGGTTTAGCGCTGCCATAGGCCCTGGGTGTGATCCTGGAGACACGGAATTGAGTCCCATGTCGGGCTCCCTGCATGGAGCCTGCTTTTCCCTCTGCCTGTGTCTCTGCCTCTTGTTCTCTCTGTGTCTCTCATGAATAAATAAAATCTTTTTTAAAAAGGAGAAATTGTAAATTTTAGTTTGGAGAGTCTTAGCCAGATATTTTAGGAAATCAGAATTCATGATCCAGTCAAGTTTATAGGCAAAAATAAACCCTCAAAGATCTAACATCCACAAAGGTGTGTTACTGAAACACAGTTTTTCTCTCTAAAATCACCCTCATTTCCACCAAAGATAGCCAAATTAGATGAAGTCTGGTTTCAAAAAACTTGGCCTGATTATTTACATAATTGCAGCAAGAAGAGTGAGTAACCATATAGGCTTTTTAAATCTACGTTGCTAGAACTTTTTATAAAGAATCTTCAGATTGAACTTTTTTTCTTTTTTAATTTTTATTTATTTACGATAGTCACAGAGAGAGAGAGAGGCAGAGACACAGGCAGAGGGAGAAGCAGGCTCCATGCCGGGAGCCCGACGTGGGATTCGATCCCGGGTCTCCAGGATCGGCCCTGGGCCAAAGGCAGGCGCCAAACCGCTGCGCCACCCAGGGATCCCCAGATTGAACTTTTAACAGCCTCTGAGGCCCAAGCCAAATACTTCCCATCAGATTTGCCAGCAATATCTATATATTTGAGTAAGTTCCTTCTTCTCAAGGTCCCCAAAATATCTTGAGGTGCCTGTCAGGCACTTGTGCCTGTCAGGAAGTGACCTTCCTTTCTCACCTGGTAAGGCTGAAGGGAACCCAAGAAGCAAGGTACCAGGCTGATTTTTCCAAGGGGCTACATTGGCTCTGTAAGGTCCACTACAGTTCCTTAAAGCTGTCTGATCATATGTGAGTCTCTGTATCTCTATCAAAAATGACAATCTAAGGGTGCCTGGGGGGCTGAGTCAGTTAAGCATGTGCCTTCGGCTCAGGTCATGATCCCAGGGTCCTGGGATCAAGCCCCACATTGGGCTCTCTGCTCAGCAGAGAGCCTGCTTCTCTCTTCCTCTGCTGCTCCCCCTGCCTGTGCATATGCATGTGCACTCTCTCTCTGTCAAATAAAATCTTTTTTAAAAAGTGACAATATAGGCAAGTCTTGACAATATAGCCAATGTTTCCAATTATATCCTATTATAAAACACAATTTTATTGAACTTATGCAAATAACTATATTGCATGAAAATAAGAAAAACCTCTGAGGATGTCCAAATTCTGGAGGGATCGAGTAGGGAGAAAAAGATAAATGTTTTGTATTTGTTTACAAAGGTATATTTTACCAAATTGCTGTAAGTCATAGATAGCTTAAAAGAAAAAGTTTATTTAGATCTGAAAAAGTAAACACTAGAGAACCAGCAATGTTTCAAATAAGTCACAGAAATGATAATCCTCTTCTTCAGTTCATTCAGTCCTGTGTTATTTAATTCTTGTTGGGTTCGAATCCAGTTTTCCCACCAGTTCTGGAAATTCTTACCCAGTTCAGTAGTATGACATTAAGGTTAAGAAAAACCTGTATTTGTCAAAAGTTCTTTCCATGAATCTCCTTGAGGATGAAGCACTTTTGTAAGGAAGCTTTTGGAAAAGTATCAGAGTAAAATAGCTGTCTGTATATGACAAAAGACTTTTTAAAAATTTGTAATCATTAGAGAACTGAAGAGAACTCGTTATAATGGACTTGACAAGGAAATGTGGTTATTTCTGTGACATACGACACTTCAGTAATTAGAAGTACAAGTGATAACATTCATTATACTACGACATATTAAAATTTTAAAAATTTCATACATGTTATAAATAGTTATATTAGGGATTCCTGGGTGGCTCAGTGGTTGAGCATCTGCCTTCTGCTCAGGGCATGATCATGGGTCTGAGGATCCAGTCCCACATCCAGTCCCGCATAGAGTCTCACATCAGGCTCCCTGTGGGGAGCCTGCTTCCCCCTCTGCCTATGTCTCTGCCTCTCTCTGTGTCTCTCATGAATAAATAAATCTCTAAAAAAATAGATTATATTAGTATTCACACATATAATATAACCTAAGACAGTTTATCATTATTTATTTGACAATGCTTCCCATATAATTTAACATACCAAATGAGCTTACCTAGTTTAATCTCTCTCTTTATAAGGTCAGAGAACAAATCTTTTGAGATGTTTCAGGGACTCTCGGGAATATCTCATATCTCAATAGTAAGTTTCTACATGAAAAAGAATTTAGTCAAAACTTGATTTCTGGAAGTTTGTAAAAAAAAATATTTGTTTATTTTTATTTATTTATTTCAGAGAGAAAGAGCACACAAGCAGGGGGGAGTGGCAGAGGGAGAGGGAGAAGCAGGTTCTTCTTGGAAGAGCCCAGCAGGAAGCCTGACACAGGGCTCCACAGAGCCAAGGACTCTGGCATCATGACCTAAGCAAAAGGCAGACGTTTAACCAACTGAGCCACCCAGACAACGCTGTCAAAAATATTTTTTTAAAAAAAGGTTTTAAAGTTCTTGCCTAAATAAGATCAGAGACCATTACAAAACTTAAAACTTAATTATCTATTCAACCAATGTGGCAATAAAAGATTTTAAAGGCAAACACAGAAGGTTACATAGGTTACATACATAGGTTACAGAAGGTTACATACATAACCTTGCTAACATAAAAGGTTAGCAAAACTTATTTCTTTTATTTACTTTTTTAAAAAAGATTTATTTATTCATGAGAGACACAGAGAGAGAAGTAGAGACATAGGCAGAAGGAGAAGCAGGCTCCCTGCAGGGAGCCTAAGGCAGGCGCTCAACCACTGAGCCACCCAGGTGCCCCGAAAACTTAGTTCTTTTAAGATAAGATATTCAGTTTTCCTAAAAAATCAAAAACTTGATAAATATAAAACATAGAATCTTTATTTTGAAACACATTATGCTAAAAATAAAGAAAAACCTTTGTTTACAATCTCTTATTAGGAAGAGACCAATAATCTGAGAAAACTGTCATTCTAACAAAGAGAAAAACAAAATTCTAAACTTACAGCAGTAATACTTTGGATAGTAAAGCTCATTTACATAATTAAATTCTTTCTACCTTAGCCAGTCCTGACTGATACAGCTTTGAATGTAGGTAAAGCCTGGAGCCGACAGCCAAGAATTCTTGAGACGTCTTTGGTATAAAAAAGGTGGTTTTATTAAAGCATAGGGACTGGACCCCTGGGCAGAAAAAGCTGCACTGGGGTCATGAAGAGAGTGGCCCACTATATATTTTCAAGTTGGGAGGGGATTAGGGAATAGCGTTAAGTCTCTAAGGAATTTTGGAAGCAAGGTTTCCAAGACGTTGAGGGGCTAGATATTGTTGGGGAAAGGTCATTTATTATTGTCTAATAAAACCTGAGTCATCAATGTATATTTATGGGCCATATGCTTGGGAATATGATCGCCAACATATACCTTGGGAGGTAAAGATAAAGGAAGTTTCCAAAGGAATTTTTATATGTTAAAGTAGACTTAAAAGGATCCTGGGGGTCCAGCTAAGATAGCCTTTGCTATTAGCAAAGTATTAACAACGAGGCAGCTTAGTTCTTAGAGGAATGTCTGTTTCAAGAACTTGTCAATGGGCTATAGATAGTACAGAAATTTAATAATTTTTTTTCTGCTTTTGTTTCTTACCTCACTGACCCTGCATAAAATTCCTTTCTGAAGATCCCTTTCCCTGAAACCTTCTACAATTTTCTTTTTTATATTCAGATTTTTTCTTATGTTTTCCTTTTTTAAATAGAGACAAATTTCATCCTAAAGTCAACCTCACTTTAGGACAAAATTATTTTTAACCAAAAAAAAAAAAAAAAAAAAAAGCATTTCTACTCCTTATATCCTTTCTTACTAAAAACACACATCGTATTCTCTTTGCATACAGAGATGTTTCCATGATTATTTCTAGTAGCTTTAATTACATTAGAATCCTTAACTCTTAGAAACCTAATTTCTAATGAAAACTATGAAGTAAACAACTGTGTACTGTTATACCAACTTTCTTTAGATTGGCAAAATTTTTAATACTTTTCATAATTTCTAGAACCATTACTATGTGCTTCTTCATAGTATAATCTTTCAATAAAGCACCAAACATGTTTACCAACAGTCCCAAATTTATCCTTAATTTCTCTGTAATAAGGAATTCAAAAGTAAATACATTTATATTCAGTAATTAAAGTTTCATTATTTCACCTTATTTGGAAGTGATCTAGATATTCAATGAATTTAACTTAACTCATCACTTAACTTAGCAACTTTAAAGTTTTAAGTTACCAAAACAGTTTGGTAAAACTATTTTAAAAGTTTACTTAAAAACTTTTTATCTTATTTGTATCTATTCAATTTAATTGCTCCTAATAATTACATTCAGATTACTCACATGAGACATCAGACAAAGCCAACCATTCTCCCCCAAAATGGTTTGTTTTTGTTGTTGTTGCTGTTTAAAATTTTTAACAGTTATAATATAAACTTATTTGGTTAGTAAACCCAAGTACCATAAGTGTTATATTTAATATTGATAACTCTAAAGACAGGTCTATTTTAATTAAACCAACATACTTCAATTAGCTTTTATTCATTAAAGATTGATCCTAGATCACGTGAACTAAAAAGTGTTTGGGTTAGTTTTTATATTTCTGAGGGCTTTAGAATAGCCAATCCTTACAAGTGCTTGCCTTCAAACCAACTATATAGAGCTACTGTACAAATTTTGGGAATACTATCTGTAGGAAAATATCACATATATACAATATATAACATATATACAAATATATATATATACACACACACACACACAGACACAGAGATCTGTAGTTACTAATATTTGTAGAGAGAATTTTTCATTTGTCCAATTTCCAAATACTTCTTCTTTCCTCCTTTTTTTTTTCCTTTTCCTTCAGTTGAGAAACCTCTCCCTAAAGAAGAAAATCGAATTTAATTTTGTACGTATGGGAATCCCACAAACATGAGAAGTTAAAAGATAGAAAGGTTAAATAAGGGATCCCTGGGTGGCGCAGCGGTTTGGCGCCTGCCTTTGGCCCAGGGCGCGATCCTGGAGACCCCGGATCGAATCCCACGTCGGGCTCCCGGTGCATGGAGCCTGCTTCTCCCTCTGCCTGTGTCTCTGCCTCTCTCTCTCTCTCTCTGTGTGACTATCATAAATAAATAAACATTTAAAAAAAAAAGAAAGAAAGGTTAAATAAGACATATATACCCTCCTGAACTAAGGAATGGAAGAGGGGTGGAGGTGGTTAAAGCCCAGGACAATAAGAACAGATGATGGTAATTAGATGTCTACCCTGCCATACACAAGGGTCATTCAGATAAAATTTCCCTCCGTTCAACTCTTATTTGGGAAAAGACTCTTCCAATTTAGATTCTTCTAGATAGTTAAGGGAGGGGCAAAATGTTCTTTTGAGCCTATTGGGTCTCAAATGCCTCAGCTCAAAACAGTCTGCATTCCAAAGTGGCACATTTTGAGGAGATTGTCTCTGAACCCTGTTAGTCCCATAAATTTTAGAACTTGCTACAATTTCTTTGTAGTGCAGTGAATGTCTAATTTTACTACAATGAATTTTATAAATACTCATGTTGACGTATATGTACATGCATAGACATGACTAAATAGAGATAACAAAAGATTAATAGCATTACATTTTGATCCTAGAGGAATGAGTAAAACACTAATGGTCACTCAAACACTATGAAGAAAAGGAAGGAGAAACAACTATGGTTGCCTTATACCTTACGTTCAAATCAGTAAACAAAGCTTATAAAATCTAACTTATTAACTTCTCCTTAGGTATTGTCTCATCACTCTGACTCTTAGGAACTTTGTCCAGCCATTCATTTTTCTCCCTTGGTTTACGGCAACAATCTCCTTAATTTATACCTCTAATCTCCCTCCAATTCAGCCTCCCCACTCAGTTTCTAGACATAATGTCATAAAACACAAGTTTAATCCTGTCATACACACACACACCCCCCAACTTAAATACTCTCCTGTCTTGTGGTCTTCCATCTCCTCCCTACCTCACTCACAACTGCCTGCAACCATCACACTATTACCCCATTACCACCTTCCTTCACCAAATACCAACTTCTAAACTGACCATTGCAGGTTCTCCAAGATTGGAGTCAAGCCTAACTTTCTATTCTCAGCTCTTGCTTCCTTATGTGCACACACACCCTCAGCACACATCAGCCTTTCTAAACAACTTACCATTTCTAGAATAGACCCTATTATCTCTGCCTCCCCCACAATGCTACCTTGCTGCCCCTTCTGACTGCCTATCTCATCCCTGATCTCACACTAGTAAGACAGATTTCAAACATATTGCCCATTTTGTACCCCACAAATACTTTCTAGATAGCGTGAAAAGCGAGTCCAAGACAAACTTAAGTGCTGTTTAAAAATATAAACCACAGGGGATCCCTGGGTGGCACAGTGGTTTGGCACCTGCCTTTGGCCCAGGGCGCGATCCTGAACACCCGGGATCGAATCCCACATCGGGCTCCCGGTGCATGGAGCCTGCTTCTCCCTCTGCCTGTGTCTCTGCCTCTCTCTCTCTCTCTATCATAAATAAATAAAAATTTTAAAAAGAAAAAAATATATAAACCACAGCGGCACCTGGGTGACTCAGTCTGTTAAGTGTCTGCCCTAAGCTCAGGTCATGATTCCAGGGTTCTGGGATTGAGTCCCTGCTCTGCAGGAAGCCTGCTTCTCCCTCTCTCTCCTGTGCTCTCTCTCTCAAGCAAAAAAAAAAAAAAAAAAAAAAAAAATCTTTTAAAAATAAATAAAGCTAAAAAATAAAATATAAAGCACATAGTAAAGTTGTTTACATATTACTTAGAATATTAATGATAGGCTCTTTGAATTTGAGAACTGAAGTCTCCTATAGAATCTTATTGGGAAGTCAGGTGGCTCAGCAGTTTAGCACCGCCTTCAGCCTAGGGTGTGATCCTGGAGACCCAGGATTGAGTCCCATGTCGGGCTCCCTGCATGGAGCCTACTTCTCCCTCTGCCTGTGTCTCTGCCTTTCTCTCTCTCTCTCTCTCTCTAATGAATAAATAAATAAAATCTTTTTTTTAAAAAAAGGAAACATTTAACAAATTCTGTTTTGCAAATAAAGAATTTTGAAGCAACACCACAGTTTCCAAACATTTGTGCTAAAAAAAAAAACAGGAAAACAATTATGATATTAGTTTATCAAACTCTGATTTTAAAAAGTCAATTCTAAAGTGCTAAGGCAATTCAGACACAACCTGGATTTTTTAACTCCACTAACAATAATCAATATTTTAATTAATAAATTAATAATGATGCCCATGATTTTGGAGGAAAGATCCAATACATTTAACATCATCACAACATGATTTGTTTTTTATATCAGTTATTTGTTTTAGGTAAGGCTATAAAGCTATAATACTTATTCCCACTGAAATCTCTATTTTAATGGATCGTCCTAGATCAGTGACTATTACCAATCATCTAATCCCACATAACACATTCCCTCCAGAATTTACTGGCTTAACACAAAACACTTTATTTAGCTCACATTTCTGTTAACTTGCAATTTGGGGGTGGGTTCAGCTAAGCAGTTCTGGGCTCATGCATGTTATCTGTGTGTCCTTAGCTAAAGTGACTTGTTCCTGCTTCCCGTAGTCACTCCTCCTCCAGCAGGCTAGCCTGGGTTTGTTTGAATGGCAAGTCAGCCAGACTTCCAAGATAGGGAGCAAAAGCATGCAAGGTGTTTTGAGGTCCAGCACTAGAATTAAATGAATTCTATTGGGGGGGATAAAAAAAAAAAAAAAGCAGAAACAAGGACTCCAGAATCAAGCAGCCACTGAGAAAATTCCACCTTCACTTCCTGTTGGAAGGAGCTGCAGCCCTATGGGAAAGCACACTATTACAGGAAACAGTAGATTGTGGCTACAACTTTTAGAATGTGACAGGTATAGCCAAACAATCGGAGACCGACGACATTTATGTATGAAAATACCTTCGGTATTAGATTAGAAACATTAGGTTAGGCTTTTATTTGCATGCTAACAGGGACCACCAAAGATTTTAGTGCAAGATAGTGACGGGGTCGGAGCTGACTTTTTTTTTCCTTTTTTATTTTTCTAAGAGATTTTATTTATTTATTCGTGAGAGATGGAGAGAGAGGCAGATACACAGGCAGAGGGAGAAGGAGGCTCCTCGCCCGGAGCTGGATGCGGGTCTCGATCCTGGGTCTCTGGATCTCGACCCCGGGGTCTCTCAGTCTGCATCCTGGGTCTCCGGGTCTTGATCCCGGGTCTCTGTCTGAATGCTGGGTCTCAGGGTCTTGATCCCTGGTCTCTGGGTCTCGATCCTGGGTCTCCATCCACGGGTCTCTGGGTCTCGATCCTGGGTCTCGATCCCTGGGTCTCAATCCTGGGTCTCTGGGTCTCGATCCCAGGTCTCTATCATGAGTCTCTGGGTCTCGATCCTGGGTCTCAATCCCTAGGTCTTGATCCTGGGTCTCTGGGTCTTGATCCCAGGTCTCTATCCTCAGTCTCGGGGTCTCGATCCTGGGTCTCGATCCTGGGTCTCTGGGTCTTGATCCTGGGTCTCGATCCCTGGTCTCTGGGTCTCGATCCCGGGTCTCCATCCTGAGTCTCTGGGTCTCGATCCCAGGTCTCCATCCTGAGTCTCTGGGTCTTGATCCTGGGTCTTGATCACTGGTTTCTGGGTCTCGATCCCTGGTCTCAATCCCTAGGTCTCAATCCTGGGTCTCTGGGTCTCGATCCTGGGGCTCAATCGTGGGTCTCTGGGTCTTGATCCCAGTCTCCATCATGGGTCTCCATCCTGGGTCTCTGGGTCTCCACCCCGGGTCTCGATCCTGGGTCTCTGGGTCTCGATCCCGGGTCTCCATCCTGAGTCTCTGGGTCTTGATCCTGGGTTTCAATCCTGGGTCTCGATCCCTAGGTCTCAATCCCGGGTCTCTGTGTCTCGATCCCAGGCCTCTGGGTCTTGATCCCAGGTCTCCATTGTGGGTCTCCGTCCTGGGTCTCCGTGTCTCGATCCTGGGTCTCGATCCCGGGTCTCAATCCTGGATCTCTGGGTCTCGATCCTGGGTCTCAATCCCTGGGTCTCGATTCCTGGTCTCTGGGTCTCGATCCCGGGTCTCCATCCTGGGTTTCTGGGTCTCGACCCTGGGTCTCCATCCGGGTCTCTGGGTCTCCATCCTGGGTCTCCATCCTGAGTCTCTGGGTCTCCATCCCGGGTCTCTGGGTCTTGATCTCGGGTCTCCATCGTGGGTCTCCGTCCTGGGTCTCTGGGTCTCGAACCCGGGTCTCCATCCTGGGTCTCTGGGTCTCGATCCCGGGTCTCAATCCTGGGTCTCTGGGTCTCGAACCTGGGTCGCAATCCCGGGTCCCTGGGTCTCAATCCCTAGGTCTCTATCCCTGGTCTCTGGGTCTCCATCCGTGTCTCTGGGTCTCGATCCCGGGTCTCCATCCTGAGTCTCCAGAATCACACCCTGGGCTTAAGGCAGCCGCTACGCCGGGGGGCCCCTGGGGCTGCCCTTTTGTCCCTTTGTCTATCTGAAGTAGGCACCATGCCCAAGGCAGGGCTTGAACTCCCCTACGATCAAGAGTCGGATGCTCCACCCTCTGAGCCCGTCGGGCGCCCCTCCTCCACCTTTTAAATATCTCCACGACTTAGCAACCCGACCAGGTCTCTTTCACCTTCCTACCACACTCTTTTCTTACCTGGCATGTCCCTCGCTTCCAGAACGTCCCTTCACCTGGCTAAGGCTCTGCTCAGTCCCTGAGAACTTCTTTCGAAAGCCTCCCCGCTACCCACGCCGCTACTGAGGTGGCTCAAACGCTGCTGGGCTACTTCCAGCACTCACCCCGCTGCACGGCGATGCTTCGTCTCCTCCCCTGACCTGCGAGTGCCTCCAGGAACGAGAACGGCCTTCCACGGATTCCGCCCGGCACACGCAGGACACCCCGTGAGTGTTTACTAAATCCGAAGCATGTGCAACGGCCGGCGGGGTACGGGGGGCGGGTAACTGACAGGTGTGTACAACCATAGTTCTGCAAAGACACACTGCTGTTAAGTCGCCTTCAGGAGTCAGTCGGCTCCAAAGCAGAAATCATCGAAGAGTTTCGCAGGCAAGACCCAGCCTTCCTCAGCCGACACACGCGCGCGCGCGCGCGCGCGCGACGGCCTTCCCCTTTACGGCAAAAAAGTCCCAAGAGTCGCGCCGTAGATGCCGTAAAAGGGAGGGAAGCTCTTGGGGAAGGAAAGCAGGCTGCCCGCTTTGCGGCACTTGTCAAGGCGGGAAAGTGCCCGGCTGTCGGTTGGAATTGCAGGGAGGGCGGGGCCGGGGGGAGGGGGGAATCGTCGCCCCGCCCCCTCGGACAGGACTTCCGCCCACTCAAGAGGCGTGTTCCGGGCTCTCCCACCCAGCCCTGGGCGCCGGTTAAGACCACGCTCCCCGTCGCCGGTGCCATGGAGGCGCCGGTGGAGGCGGAAGTCGAAAATGAGGACGGCGACAGCAGCTGCGGGGATCTGTGCTTCATGGACAAAGGCCTACGGAGGTAAGAGTGTGCCCCGCAGCTTGGAGTGGCCCGCGCCCGCCCCGGGTGCCGCGGAGGCGGGCGGCGCCGCTTAGCGCAGACCCGCCCCAGCGCCGCTGGCTTCCGGCCGCCGGGCTGCGCCGGAAGTGCCCTGAGCCCTCCTCCCTGCTCCGGGGCCCTCCAGCCCGGAAGCTGCGCTCCGACCTCCTCCTCCATCACTCTTGGCCCGTCCTCCCCCTTCCCTGGCTCTCCTCTCTTTCCTGAGGAGCCTTCCTCTGCTTGCTCTTTACTTGTCGGTTTTCTGGGTTCTCTCTCGTCTCTCCTGCTCTTTCATCCTTCACAAGAGAGTGGCGCTCCTGCATCTCTCTGGCAACCGTGGAGCGAAGGTTTACCGCTCTTCCTTGGTTTTGACCCAATTCTCTTTGCCCCCCCCATTCTGATTTCTCCTTTGCAGAGCGCTGTGATGCATACGTCCATCTACTTTGTGAAAGTGCTAAACCATACGTGGCTAAGGATTTCCCTCTTCGATGCAGCCCAAATCTATGCACGACGTGCGAGGTTCTCGGTTCTTGCCCTACTGGCTGGCCCCCACCTTATCGTTTCGGTCTTAGGACACGACTCTTACCATTTCTCCATTTAACGTCTGTGATGAGCCGGTACTGAGCTACAGGCAGTTCCGTAAATAGGGTTCTCCTTGGCTTTGCACTTAACTGTTCCTTTGTGGCACGCCCTGCTCCGTGCAGAACCTTGCTGCCCATAATTAAACCATCTTGCCCCGGATCATGGTCTAAAAATGGGCCAGAAGACCCCAGGGAGATGTTTTCTAAAGGAATATTTAAGTTAGGATTAAGTATTTAATCCTAATTAAATAATAGAGGAATATTATTAAATATACTGGATAATAAATGTCACCTAGCGAACGCCATCCACGTGTACATATTGTTATGTATGTTATCACGGACCCTCACGATGATTCTGCAGCGTAGTAATTTTACAAGCGACAGATCTGAGACTCAGAGGATCTAAGTCGTGTTCTCAACTTCTTGCAGCTGGTGAGCAGTTAAGTTCAAATCCAAACCTGTTTTCTGATTTTCACCGTCTTCCTTTTTTTTTTGCTGGACCGCATTATTTGCCCAGTACTGATTTCCAGAAACTGCAGTGTGTCAGAACATACGTGGCTGTCACCGAGAGCGTGTGTTAATAAGAGAAGGATAGCTCAGTTAAGTGACAGTAGCTAGGTAATTGGGAAATATTTCAGTCACGTGTAGGGATTGTTAGTTTCAAAGTGACAAATGCTTTATCTTTTTCTGCCCCAGGTTATTAGGTGCTTCAGTCTGAAGCCTAAAGGAGGAGGTAAATGACCTGATGGCATATTTAAAGTGTTTACGATTTTTTGATTTTGAATTTGAGATTCTCGATGCTAATTTGGAAGCAAGCATACCAGAATTCCTTGTTTCCCTTTTACTCCCTGGCTACTGAACTTCTCACTTCTCTGCTGCCAGAGTTAAGCTTCCGCTACAGTAGCTGCTACGGAACATGGAACAAATGCCCATGCCATTGTGTGTGCCTATTGCTGACAGTCCTCCCTCCAGCATATCTGAACTATATGCACTGTAGGTTTTATTCCTGGAACTACCATCTTGAGGAGAGGTTCAGATTATAAACACGGCAGTACTTGGGAGAATGGAGAAATGAGTTGTGTTTAGGGGAGGTACATTCCAGATTTTTTTTTTAAATTTTTATTTATTTATGATAGTCACACAGAATGAGAGAGAGAGGCTGAGACACAGGCAGAGGGAGAAGCAGGCTCCATGCACCGGGAGCCCGATGTGGGACTCGATCCCGGGTCTCCAGGATCGCGCCCTGGGCCAAAGGCAGGCGCCAAACCGCTGCGCCACCCAGGGATCCCTACATTCCAGATTTATAGAAAGGAGGATAAATCTTTTTCGCTAGAAATAGCAAGAACTAGTGGTTTCTTTTGAAATCAACTACGTTCTGGGTTAAAGAGGTGTTGGAGTCCGTAAAGAATGTAAGATTATAAACCACAGTGCCAGATCTGGATTTATACTGCCTCAGGTAATAACGACAAGAACGTGGACAATTTATTTCATTTCTGCTGCAGACTTCAGTATCCTTATGATACCTATTGCTTAGAATTGTGGGGATTAAATGAAATGAGGAAACAGAGGCTTAGATAAATTAACTCCTTTATTCAAGTAATTTAACAAAGGAAAAATAGTGATAGAATGCAGATTTGAACTGGGGTATTAGGGTTTCAGGGCCTTGACCGGCGCCGAATCACAGCTTTCATTATATGCTGATGACTTGGTTGCTAATAGAAGGTAGAAATGCCCAGGGTCTCTTACCCCTTTTGAGTGAGTTTCTTGTTTATGGTCTAAAATACCAATTAGTGGTAAGAAGCACTGTACCCTACGGGATATTAAAAGGCTACCAAGAGTAGGAAGGATTTCATTATAGAATGAGTAGAATACATAGTTAACCATCTACATGCTGTTTGGTTAATTTTAATTATTTGGTCATAATTTTTAAATCTGTTTCTTGTTTTGGTAATATATATTTTCTCTTATAGCATGTCAGAGTTATCTTTAGATTCATCCCTTCATGCCATCAATCTTCATTGCAATAACATCTCAAAAATCGAAGCCATTGATCATGTTTGGAATTTACGACACTTAGACCTGTCATCTAATCAAATAAGTCGAATTGAAGGGCTAAGCACACTGACGAAGCTATGCACTTTAAATTTGTCCTGCAATTTGATCACAAGAGTAGAAGGTTTGTAAGTGACTTTCCTGTGATACTTTTCATAAGGAAGATGATTTAAGTCCACTTTTCTTCTTCCCAAAAGAATGGAACAAATATCATAAACTTTTGAAAACTGGCCTTAAAATTTACTACGTAAAAAGCTTTCTTCTATAAAAGTTAACAATTTCTTAAGTATTTTGCAAAATACTAAGAAAATTGATTTCACTGTTACCAGACTATAAATTTGCTTCAAAACTGTCTGAAATAGTATCGTAATACTGTATAGCTCTGAGTAATTATTTGAATTCTGTAAAGGCTTTATTTTATTTTATTTTATTTTATTTTATTTTATCTTATTTTATTTTATTTTATTTTAGGACTTGAAGCACTAACTAATCTGACTAAACTGAATTTATCCTATAACCACATAAATGATCTTAGCGGTAAGTAGTTAATCTTACGTTTTCTATAGTGCTGAATGTTTGCCATGTGATGAATTAGGCTAAACTCAGCCTGCTGAAAACTGGATAATCCTGTTTTTGACCAAAAATACCTCTAGAGAGTGTGCTTCGGTCATAATTCTTTCTTGCTGGTGCCAGAGCTATGGCTGAATAACAAATAGGAATGCAAACCAGGGTGATCAGTAACAGAAAAAAACTTGGACTTACTTCAAGAGAATACTGTTTTAATCTTATATAATCGATCAATATGTTATTTAAAAAATCGTTCCAGGGCAGCCCGGGTGGCTCAGCAGTTTAGCGCCGCCTTCGGCCCAGGGCCTGATCCTGGAGACCTGGGATCAAGTCCCACGTCGAGCTCCCTGCATGGAGACTGCTTCTCCCTCTGCTTGTGTCTCTGCCTCTCTTTCTCTCTCTCTTTCTCTCAAATAAATAAATAAAATCTTTAAAAAAAAAAAAAGATCTTTAACATTTTAAATAAATAAATTAAATTAAATTAGTTCCAAAATAACTTTTACGATGATGACAGTATTACATATCTGTGTCGTCTGACATGGCAGCAGGTAGCCAGATGTGTCCTTAGAGCATGGGAAATACAATTTACGCAGTGAGGAACTGGATTTGTTTTTTGTTTTTGTTTTTGTTTTTTTAATTTTTATTTATTTATGATAGTCACAGAGAGAGAGGGGGGCAGAGACATAGGCAGAGGGAGAAGCAGGCTCCATGCACCGGGATCCCGATGTGGGATTCAATCCCGGGTCTCCAGGATCACGCCCTGGGCCAAAGGCAGGCGCCAAACCACTGCACCACCCAGGGATCCCAGGAACTGGATTTGTAATTAAATTTTAACTTGAATTCACGAAGCCGCTTGTTACTAACTCTGTCCTACAGCGCTCCAAAGGCCGTGTTGTACGTTGAACATCAAATGACTTTGTGTTTGACCTTCAGTAGATCTGAGGAGGTTAAACATTGTTACCTATTTTTTAATTGATTAAAGTGATACACTGATAAATCGAACACGGTTTCGTGATCTGTCAAAATTGGCGGAATTCTTCTACTTACCTTCATGATCCTGTCAGCAGTGGAAGCAGTCTTATCCATGTGTTTATTTTTCTCTCATGCTTGGAAAATACTAGCCTATGCCAGGTATTTCATATACAAATAATTAAAGCAGTCTGTTCCCTACCAGTAAGCTGGAATAGCAAGAATATTTTAATTTTTAAAAATTTTCCCCAAAAGATCTGAAAGTATTAGAATTGAAATTTGTTTAAAGATCTTATTTATTTATTCATGAAAGACAGAGAGACGGAGACAGAGAGAGAGAGGCAGAGACACAGGCAGAGGGAGAAGCAGGCTTCATGCAGGGAGCCTGACGTGGGACTTGATCCCAGGTCTCCAGGATCAGGCCCTGGGCTGAAGGCAGATGCTCAACTGCTGAGCCACCCGGGCGTCCCTAGAATTGAATATTAACCTTACCTTTGTCACTGCTGTATGATGTTGAGCAAAGAATATTACTGTTTGGATACAGTTTCTTTATCTGAAAAATGTGAATCTTGGATAAGACTGCTCATTCATTGCAGAGAAAGCATTTGACAAAATACAGCATCCATTCCTGATCAAAACTCTTCAGAGTGTAGGGATAGAGGGAACTTTCCTCGATATCTTAAAAGCCATCTACGAAAAGCCCACAGCAAATATCATTCTCAATGGAGAAGCACTGGGAGCCTTTCCCCTAAGATCAGGAACCAGACAGGGATGTCCACTCTCACCACTGCTATTCAACATAGTATTGGAAGTCCTAGCCTCAGCAATCAGACAACAAAAAGACATTAAAGGCATTCAAATTGGCAAAGAAGAAGTCAAACTCTCCCTCTTCGCCGATGACATGATACTGTACATAGAAAACCCAAAAGCCTCCACCCCAAGATTGCTAGAACTCATACAGCAATTTGGTAGCGTGGCAGGATACAAAATCAATGCCCAGAAATCAATGGCATTCCTATACACTAACAATGAGACTAAAGAAAGAGAAATTAAGGAGTCAATCCCATTTACAATTGCACCCAAAAGCATAAGATACCTAGGAATAAACCTAACCAAAGAGGTAAAGGATCTATACCCTAAAAACTCTAGAACACTTCTGAAAGAAATTGAGGAAGACACAAAGAGATGGAAAAATATTCCATGCTCATGGATTGGCAGAATTAATATTGTGAAAATGTCAATGTTACCCAGGGCAATTTACACGTTCAATGCAATCCCTATCAAAATACCATGGACTTTCTTCAGAGACTTAGAACAAATTATTTTAAGATTTGTGTGGAATCAGAAAAGACCCCGAATAGCCAGGGGAATTTTAAAAAAGAAAACCATAGCTGGGGGCATCACAATGCCAGATTTCAGGTTGTACTACAAAGCTGTGGTCATCAAGACAGTGTGGTACTGGCACAAAAACAGACACATAGACCAATGGAACAGAATAGAGAACCCAGAAATGGACCCTGAACTTTATGGTCAACTAATATTCGACAAAGGAGGAAAGACGATCCACTGGAAGAAAGACAGTCTCTTCAATAAATGGTGCTGGGAAAATTGGTCATCCACATGCAGAAGAATGAAACTAGACCACTCTCTTGCACCATACACAAAGATAAACTCAAAATGGATGAAAGATTTAAATGTGAGACAAGACTCCATCAAAATCCTAGAGGAGAACACAGGCAACACCCTTTTTGAACTTGGCCACAGTAACTTCTTGCAAGATACATCCACGAAAACAAAAGAAACAAAAGCAAAAATGAACTATTGGGACTTCATCAAGATAAGAAGCTTTTGCATAGCAAAGGATACAGTCAACAAAACTCAAAGACAACCTACAGAATGGGAGAAGATATTTGCAAATAACATATCAGATAAAGGGCTAGTTTCCAAAATCTATAAAGAACTTCTTAAACTCAACACCAAAGAAACAAACAATCCAATCATGAAATGGGCAAAAGACATGAAGAGAAATCTCACAGAGGAAGACATAGACATGGCCAACATGCACATGAGAAAATGCTCTGCATCACTTGCCATCAGGGAAATACAAATCAAAACCACAATGAGATACCACCTCACACCAGTGAGAATGGGGAAAATTAATAAGGCAGGAAACAACAAATGTTGGAGAGGATGCGGAGAAAAGGGAACACTTACACTGTTGGTGGGAATGTGAACTGGTGCAGCCACTCTGGAAAACTGTGTGGAGGTTCCTCAAAGAATTAAAAATAGACCTGCCCTACGACCCAGCAATTGCACTGTTAGGGATTTACCCCGAAGATTCAGATGCAATGAAACGCCGGGGCACCTGCACCCCGATGTTTCTAGCAGCCATGTCCACAATAGCCAAACTGTGGAAGGAGCCTCGGTGCCCATCGAAAGATGAATGGATAAAGAAGATGTGGTTTATGTATACAATGGAATATTACTCAGCCATTAGAAACGACAAATACCCACCATTTGCTTCAACGTGGATGGAACTGGAGGGTATTATGCTGAGTGAAGTAAGTCAATCGGAGAAGGACAAACAGTGTATGTTCTCACTCATTTGGGGAATATGAATAATAGTGAAGGGGAGTATAAGGGAAGGGAGAAGAAATGTGTGGGAGATATCAGAAAGGGACACAGAACATAAAGACTTCTAACTCTGGGAAATGAACTAGGGGTGGTGGAAGGGGAGGAGGGCGGGGGGTGGGGGTGAATGGGTGACGGGCACGGAGGGGGACACTTGACGGGATGAGCACTGGGTGTTATTCTGTATGTTGGTAAATTGAACACCAATAAAAATTAATTTATAAAAAAAAAAAAAGACTGCTCATTCACTCAGCAAATGTTTATTGAAGATCACTGTATCAAATAGTGTTCTGTAAAGATTAAAAAAAATAGATATAGTTCTTGTCCTAGAGCTTACATTGTAGTAGGGAAGAAAAACAAAAAATGAGATCATGTCAGCCCCTCAAAAATAAGCAAAACATTTGAGCAGACCCTTCCCCAGAAGGATATCCAAATGGCAGATTGGCACATCTGAAGATGAGAAGAGGGACACATGAATTAAAAGTGATGGAATGGTCTGTATCTCAGTTATAGTAGTGGTTACACAGTTGTATGTGCTTGTTGACATACATTGAGTTGTACACGTAAAAAGAGTGTGTTTTAGTGACTTTATATAAGATTGTGATAAATATGAAGAAAATACAACAGGTAACACTAAATTCTAATCGATAATTCTTAAAATGATATTTTATATGTTCAATATTTATTATTTATTTGTATGTTTGTTAAGTGCTGCAAAGACACTAAAGTACTTCCAACCTCAACCTGATAAAGGGACAGAAAGGGCAGTATGGCCAGAGCATAGCAAATGAGGGATTAGTGTGCTAAAAAAGAAGAGAAAGTAGGCAAAGGCCAGATCGCAGCTTCACACTCATGGTAAAGAAAGGTTTGCATATTATTCTGGGTAAAATAGGAAGTTTTAGGAAGGATTTAAACAAGTGACATATATGTGTTTTTAAAGGATCACTTTGGTTGCTGCATGGGTCAAGAATGGATTTTAGGAGACTAGGAGTGGAATTCAGGTGACCAGTTAGGAAGCTATTCCAGGGGTCTAGGTGAGATGATGGAGACTTGGAGTAGAAATAGGGTAGAAGAGCAAATGGTTATATTTGCAGGTAGAGTTCATAGGACTTGCTGATAGATTGAGATAAGGAAATGAAGAAAAGAGGAATCAAGGATAATTAACTGAGTTTTTCCTGTAGCAATAGGTGGATGATGGGACTGGTTCCTGACATAGGAAAAATTGGGTGAGAAACAGATTTAGAGATAAGAGAATGAGAAATAAGGATTCTACCTTAAACTTGAGAACCTTGTTAGACATTATGTATGTATGTATATATGTATATGTGTAATGCACAGTTTGGGGTGGGTTATGGTTGGAGTTGTAGATTTGGCACATCAGTGGTATTTGTAACCTGAAACTATAAGGGGTTCTGGACAGTATGTGACTAGAGAAGGCCTTTAAAATCGAATAGTAAGAAGAACATAAAACAGAAAAAACCAGTAACATGAAACAAGAACGTAGAGATTAAGAATTGCTAGTGCTTATAAGAACTCATGATAGGAAATCTGGTCTTGTAGACAGTTGTCAGAGAAGACTTTTCTGAGGACATGAGGGATGAATAGAAGTTAATGATGAGGACTATAAACAAAAGAAAAGAGGCAACCCTGTAGAAGAGAAATAGAAGTTAACCCAAGAAAGATGGAGGAGAGAAGAGTATTCCCGTCAGGTTGAAGAAACTGGGGGTAAAAGGGGGGAAGGTGGGTAAAGTTAAATTTATGTATGGAGTACTAAAGGAAGCAAAATTGTAAAATAAGACCTTAAGAGGAACAGTGTAGAGTGCGGTCCTTCCAAAAAAAAGGAGACCAAGACTTCATTCACTGACTTCACTGACACTGACAGTTCCCCTTTTGTTGAGGATAGCCCCTGAGGGTGTTGGCTCCCTTACATTTCTCGGTTGTACCTTTGCTCAAAAGCTCCATTTTGAAGAGAGTTCTGAGGCAAAAAAAAAAGAGAAACATGAAGTGCTGCAATGGGGCAGACTGGCAGCATGCATGGCCCCATCCACCACAGCTGCAGCTGAAGTCAGAGGCTGGTCAAGGAGATGTGGTACCAGGCACCAGTAACCTCTGCTGCAAACCTAGTTCCTAACATTACCATGCTCTAGTTAAACTCATGTAAGAACTGAATCAAATTTGTATTTTATGCTCAAACCAATAAAATTGAAGGGTACTGCAGTGTTTGCTTATGTCTGCTAATTAAGAATAACGTGTTGATTGAGAGCCTGAAGCCATTGCTTTATGCTTCTCATAGAAGTACATACATTGGCCTTGGGAGATTCATATGTTCTGTTTGAAGAGAACCAGAGACCAGGAATCTGTGGGCTAGGGCCTTAAAAGTGATGCTGAACCCGTGTTTCTTCAAAAGAACAATCGTCTTTACTCGTACTCAGTTTATTACATGTAGCTGTTTGCAAAAACTTAATGCTGCTTCTTTGCATCAAAATCTAATCTATATAAAAATAATTTTTAATTAGCTATTGGAAAAATGACTTCAGTGGCATCAAAAGAGGTTTTTTTTTTTTTTTTCCTTACTGCAGGTTTGATTCCCCTTCATGGAATTAAACATAAACTTAGATACATTGACCTACATAGTAATTGTATAGATAGTATCCATCACTTACTTCAGTGTGTGGTAGGATTAAACTTCTTGACTAATCTTATTTTGGAAAAAAATGAAGAAGATAATCCTGTCTGTCGTGTACCAGGTATGAGCAATTAATTTAATGCTTTTTGTAACAGTTAATATCCAAAACTCCTTTGTTTCCTGCAACTGGTGTTTATGATCTCCTTTTCTTTGTCTTAAGCTTTGTAACTTTTTATTATACATTTGGGAAATTATAATTGCAAATAAACTTATTAAGATAAATTATGGTTAAAGAACACAGGATAAACATAAATAATTTTAGGCAATTTTATATTTGATAAGTGAAGACCTCATGATTAAATTATGTTATTATAACATAGTCTTATAATACTATGCAGCCATAAAAAAAGAAATAGAATATTTAGCTACTGATAGGCAATTATCTCCCAAGGTATATTTATGTTAAGAGAAAGAAAAGCAAGTTACAAAACATTGCATATAATAGGTTACCATTTGTGTGCAAAGAGCAATGGATTTGCAGAATATATATATAAAATATCTAGAAGGCTACACAAAAAAACTGATAACAATGGCTAATTCCAGTATTAAGTAGCTAAGGATCAGGAAATGGAGAAAGAATGGAAAGGGAGCTGAGAATCAGGAAATGTCAGGAAAATTTTTTCCTGTGTACCTTTTTAATTTTATTCGTGAATGTGTTAAATTATTAATGATTTTTGTAAGGAAGGAAACTTAATATGCTATGTAGAAGATGCTGCTGAAATTCCATTTGATCTAATTCAGAATCACTGAAGTTGGCAAGTACAAAGCAGACCAGACTGCAATTTCTAGAACTCCCTTATTTCTATGGCTTAACCTAGCAATAAGAAACAAATGTGGAATATGAATATATATTCTAAAGATCTGCTTGGGTAGTTGGCTACAAAGTTGGCTCCATTCTATCCTTAATATGCAACTATATGAAGGCTTTTCCGAGAGTGGAAACCTGTTTTGATAATTTTATTTCACAGAAGAATATAATAGATTTGAGATGAACTCTTTTCTTAAGGCCATATAATACAAGTCACCCTAAGAATTAGGATAGACTTCAGTTTTCTGGGGGAACCCTGTTTTTGAAAAAAGTCTTATTTCTAGAGCAACTTTATTTTTCTTTACCCACCCAAGTTGAATTTTTTTCCTAACAATTTATCTTAAAGAATCTCTGGCTCCTACAGTTTGAACCTTTGTTTTTCACTTTATTTAATGAGATATTTCAACACAGTTGCCTTCCCTCCTAGAATCGAAGGGATACTTAATACTAAAATTATTTTTCTCCCTTCAAAATCTCTAATATTAACTTACCAGACTTTTTTATTTCTTTTGGAATTCTTCCAATGACATCATTGGCCTTTGTTAGATATACTTGGTTTTAAAATTATAGTCAGGCAAGTGAAAGTGTTTCTTTTAGCCTGAACACCAAATTAATGTTAATTTGTCAAATTTCTCATATTTAACTATTTAGGGAAAATAAACATATTCTTGAATAGTTGATAGATTGTTTTAAACTTAGTTATATGTAAAAGGGAGAAAGATAGGGGCATTTAATTTTACTAAAGGCCTCATTAGTAAAATTCTGGGTTTCTAGTTGTTACCGACGTCTTGATTTATATTTGTGCTAATCATATTACAAATAAAAGACATGTTTGGCTTTCTGTTCAGAATAAACTGTTACTGGTATCATGCATTTATAACTTGAAGCAATTTTAGAAAGATAAATCCAGCAATGATTTCTAACTTTCTGATCTTCACCAGGAGGATTATGTGAGAGGGATGATGGGGAGTATTTTGTTTGTTTTATATTTAATGATTACATACTGAAGGACTAAGTACCTTTTATTACAAGTTTATTAGTTGCATTCCAGGACTAATTTAATCATTCAAGTGATATATCTGGTTGGTGATATATTTAGTGTATTTGAGAAATAACTAACTTTTGAATGCCTGACTTTTCATTTTGAATGATTTGTTTCCAGGGTACAGAGCAATTATGCTCCAGACATTGCCACAGCTTAGAATCCTAGATTGCAAGAACATATTTGGTGAGCCAGTAAATCTATCAGAAATAAATTCATCACGCCTACAGTGCTTAGAAGGTCTTTTGGATAACTTAGTTTCTTCTGATTCTCCCCTAAATATAAGTGAAGATGAGGTATGGTATTGTTTTTTTCTAATATAAAAGATACCTTCAAATTTTAAGTAATAACATAAATTTTAAAGGTTTTGGTTTGTTTCTGTATCATAGATAATTGATAGTATGCCAGTGGTAACACCACCCATCGATGAGATAGTTCCCTTGGATCAGTTCGCAACACCAGCAGATACTGGTTTGACATCCTTTATATCTATATGTCCATCTTCTGAGCCGGAGAAAGTTAATCGTGAAAACAATTTTCATAATGACATGAAACTTCAGAAATTAGATGATCAAATTTTACAGCTTCTCACTGAAGTAACTATTTTTCCTTTATTTCTAAGCAGTGTGTTTGATGAAAATAAAAAAGTCGTTAAGAAAATGTAAAATAAAAAAAAAGAAAATGTAAAATAAAAATAGCATACAAGCTAACCAACCTGAAACAATTTATAGTTAACATACTGTCATATATGTATATATATATTTTTCTTTATAGAAATGGGATTATGTTTTATAAAATAGTAGTAGTAGAAAAATGTACTTTCCTTATTGTCCTTCAGATGTTGATTATGTAATTCTTTTGTTCTGCTGTACTTCACATTATTTCGTGCACCCACTTTTTGACCTTGAGTAAATACAGAACTCTTCTGACTCCATGTTTATTAACATAGAGGATATGTGAGTTACTTTGGGCCTCTACTATTTTCAGTTGTTTAATGATCAAAACTGCTTCTAGAACTTATAGCTGAGTGACAGGTTAACTTATATAGTTCTTGCTTCAATTTCTGTTTACATCAAACCTCGTGAAATTACTCTCTACTTTCTTTAGATAATTCTTTTTTACCCCTGCTACTGGTCCACTAGCTATTAGAATCTTTGAATTATGTGGATGTACTACAGTGCCTAGATTTTATTGCTATTTGGGTCTCCAACCCTTGCTGTAGCATTCTTGACTATGATGTACAGTAACAGCTGTTTTCTTAAACACCACACCTCTCAGAATGCAGGGATTATTACTTAGCCCCTACCTGGATATAGGATAGAGATACTGGGATCCCTGGGTGGCGCAGCGGTTTGGCGCCTGCCTTTGGCCCAGGGCGTGATCCTGGAGACCCGGGATCGAATCCCACGTCGGGCTCCTGGTGCATGGAGCCTGCTTCTCCCTCTGCCTGTGTCTCTGCCTCTCTCTCTCTCTCTCTCTCTCTCTCTCTGTGACTATCATAAATAAATAAATAAATAAATAAATAAATAAATAAATAAATAAATAAATAAATAAATAAATAAATAAATAACTCTTTAAAAAAAAAGGATAGAGATACTGTGGTATAGGCCAAGAAGCTATTAATCAAATGTCAGTTTGACCTACATATTTGTAATTAAATTTTAATATTCAGAATTTTTTTCTCCAAATCAGGTGGGGGTGGGAAGTGAAAACACTAATGGTGGAATTACGATTCAAAGGCTTTTTAATAATTCTGAATTATTATCATAGTTATAACAGTAACATAACAATGCTGGATAAACAAAAAGTTTACCCTAGGTCAGTAAATGAATAAAGCTGTAAGGACTTTGTGTGCTGTAAATCCCTAGATGCTTCATTTGGGCCACAGATGTAGGTAGGAATAGAACTGGGATAAGAATGCTAGCCTAAACATTCTTTGACATCATTGATAACATGTCACTGAGTTCTTAGACTTCTCCATTTTCTCAGATTTCATCGTTCATCTTTTCTAATGGCTGACTCTTCTACCAATGTCAGAATTTAGATTTAAATTTAGTAACTTAAATTTGAATTGAACTTTTGTGCCACCTTTTATGCTATCCTTATTTCATTGTCACAATACCCCAGTCAAGTAGCTAGGGATTGTTCTTGTTTGTATAAAAGAAACTCAGGAGTTTGTGTCCTTTATTAGCAAGACAGAGTTAGGCTTCAGACCCAAATCTCTGATACCCATTCTGGTATTTTTTCTACCATCATGCTTCTCAGTCAGTTATGGTGATAATTTTTCCTACTTTGTAACCAAAAATACAAGTCTAGCTATCTGAGGGGAGAAACATGATTCATTGCTTTGCATATTAAAAAATTAGGTGAATGACTTCTTGTTTGCTAACTTGTGTGAAGGATAAACATGCAGTTTTAATTTCAGTTGATGTATACACTCAGTGTTATATCAAAAGTAGCAATTTATAAGCAAAAATAGTAAAATTACTGAAAATGTGCTATACTACAATATTTTTAACTATGGGATTTATAATTATTTTACGATTTTGAGAATTGTCTGTGAAGACTTTTGTCTTTTAGTTTTTTCATACCATTTTACTATGAAATTTTCAAATATAGAACAAATTTGGGATCCCTGGGTGGCGCAGCGGTTTGGCGCCTGCCTTTGGCCCAGGGCACGATCCTGGAGACCCGGGATCGAATCCCACATCGGGCTCCCGGTGCATGGAGCCTGCTTCTCCCTCTGCCTGTGTCTCTGCCTCTCTCTCTCTCTCTCTGTGACTATCATAAATAAATAAAAATTAAAAAAAAAAAAAAAACAAATATAGAACAAATTTGAAATAATTTCTTAGTGAATACCAATATACCCACCAACTAGATTCCACAGTGAACATTTTACTTTGCTTATTTTGTTGTATATCTATCCATTTATTCAGTTACCAATCTTAATACACATTCAAAGTAAATTACATCAGTATACTTCCCCCAAAAAATTCTTAAGAATATGTATCATTAACTATAGATTCAGTATGTTTTTAGTCATTTCTTTTAATATAAAATACAGATGTGTGTTTTCCCTGAATTGATAAAAAAAAAATATACCTGTCACCCAAACTTCTTTGACAGTAAATATAGCCATCATCGACATTACCCCTTTCCAGTCAGTCCTCTCCCCCAAGGCAATCACTTTTCTTCCTTTTTCACTATAGATTATTGAATGCTTCTGTCAGAATCTAGTATAAATGTAGTCATACAGTAAATATACTCTTGTGTATAAGGTCTCTTTTATTCAGCATCACTTTGAAATCATTCCGTGTTGTATATCTTTTCTTTAGATATTTTTTCATTACTCTAAGCAGTTGTTTTAGTGTACAAGTTTTACATACCTTTTATTAGATACATTCCTAAGTATTTTATGTCTTATAAATTGTAAATTGAAGAGTTTTTGTGGTTTCATGTCCCATGATTGCTGCTACTTTGTGAAATACCATTTTTATATATATAGCTTGGATCCTGTGACCTTGCTAATAAATTTACTTATTAGTTCCAGTCCTTATTTTGTGTATACCTGGTGATTTTCTTCATAAACAGTCATGTGGAGACAGTTTTCCCCCTTATTCCCTGACATTTATGCTGTTCCTTTTTGTTTTATTGCAATAGCTAGGGTCTGTAGTGCAATTGATAGTGAGACTGGGCACCTTTGTCTTATTCCTGATCTTAGGAGAGCTTTCTATATTTCACAAGTGTAATGTTAGTCTTATGTTTTTCATAGATGTCCTTTATCAAATGAAGGAGTTTACTTCTGTTCCCAGTTGGCTGAGTTATCTGATGTTAAATTTTTTTGTTAAATCATTTTTCTGCATGTATTGAGATAATCATATGGTTTTCTTTTTTACTCACATAATAGTATGAATTACATTGATTAATTTCCATATGTTGAACAAATATTGCAATTTTGGGATAAACCTCATTTAATCATAGTAAATTATCTCTTTAGTGTATTCTTGGATTTAGTTTGCTAATATTTTATAAGGGTTTTTATATATTTCCTCATGAGGGATATTTGTTTTTCTTTTATAGTAGCATATTTGATACTGATGTTAGGTTAATGTCTACCTAAATGAGTTTAAAGTTGTCCCTTTCTATATTTTCTAAAAAAATTTTTGTAAGATTGGAATTACCCTTTCTTAAATGTTTGATAGAGTCCATCAGTAAGATTATCTGGGCCTGGAAGTTTCATGATAATGAATTCATTCTTTTTAAAAATTTAAGGCAACTCATTTTCTATCTCATTGTGTGTTGCTTTAGATGAGTTGTGGTTTTTATTTTTTATTTTATTTTATTCTTTTAAGATTTTTAAATTTATTTATTCATTGAGAGGCAGAGTTAGAGGGAGAAGCAGGCTCCATGCAGGGAGCCTGATGTGGGACTTGATCCCAGGACTCCAGGATCATGCCCTGAGCTGAAGGCAGATGCTCAACCACTAAGCCACCCAGGCATCCCAAGTTGTGTTTTTTAATTTGTCTATTTCATCTGATGTGTCAACATAAAATTGTTACTACAATATTATTCTCTTATTGTCCTTTTAACATGTATAGGATCTGTAGTGATAGCCATTCTTTTATTACTGATAATGATGATTTGTGTCTTCACTCTTTCTCATTTTGTTTATTGTTTTTGTCCTGGTCAGTTTAGTCAAGCATTTTGTTTCTCTCTACAAATTTCAATTTTATCTGCTTTCTATTTTCTGTTATTGATTTTGACATTTTATTATTTATCCTTACTTTGAATTTACCCTTCTTTTTTTTTTTTACCTTTTGTTTTGTTTTTAAGATTTTATTTATTCATGAGAGACACAGAGAGAGAGAGAGAGAGAGGCAGAGACACAAGCAGGCTCCATGCAGGAAGCCCGATGTAGGACTCAATCCCGGGACTCCAGGATCATGCCCTGGGCCAAAGGCAGGTGCTAAACCGCTGAGTCACCCATGGATCCCCTTTTTTTTTACCTTCTTAATGTAAGTGTTTAGATTATTGATTTTAGACCTGTCTTCTAATTTAAATTAACCATTTAAAGCAGTAAATATTGGGATGCTTGGGTGGCTCAGCGGTTAAACTTCTCTGCCTTCAGTTCATGGCATGATCCTGGAGTCCCGAGATCGAGTTCCACATCGGGCCCCCTGCATGGAGCCTGCTTCTCCCTCTGCCTAGGTCTCTGCCTCTCTCTTTCTGTGTCTCTCATGAATAAATAAATAAAATATTTAAAAATATATAGAGAGAGCATTAAATATTTTAAATACTGCTTTAGCTACATTTCACAAAATTTTATTCATTTGTTTTCAGCATTATTTAGCTAGAAATATTTTTCTGATTTCTCTTGTGATTTCTTTCAAAAATTACTTATATTTTGTCAGAGAACATTCTGGATAATTTTAGTCTTTTTAAATTTATTGAGATCTATTTTATAGCCCAGCATGTGGTCTAATTTGGTGGATGTTCTTTGTACACTTGTTAAGTCAGGATGGCTGGTAGTATTTTCAGATGACTCCTGTCATTATTGATTTTTTTTTTTTTGTCTTGTTCTATCAGTTGCTGATACTGATTTTTTAAAATTTTACTTGTCTGATTTTATCATTTGCATGCAAAATGTTAAAATCTCCATCTAAGAATGTGTGTGGATTAGCCTGTTTCTCCCCTAATTCTCTTAACATTTGCTTATATTTGAATCTCTGTTAATAAGCACATACATGTGTATAGCTGCTTTGTCTTTCTAATGAAATGTCCATCTTTGTCTTGAAGTCTATTTTAGCTGATATTAATATAACCGTTTCAGCCTTATGCTTATAGTTTATATGATAAATCTTCATCAGTCAGTATTTTTGGAATAACAACTTTATTGAGCTATCATTCACTTACCATAGAGTTCAGTGGTTTATACCCACTAGCAGTCACTACCATTTTCCCCTAGCCTAGGCAGCCACTAGTGAATTTTATTTTAGTTTAGTTTAGTTTTTTAAAGATTTATTTATTTATTTATTTATTTATTTATTTATTTATTCATGAGAGAGACAGAGACAGAGACACAGACAGAGGGAGATGCAGGGAGCCTAAAGTGGGACTCAATCCTGGGACTCCAGGATCATGCCCTGGGCCAAAGGCAAGCGTTAAACCGCTGACCCACCCAGGGATCCCCATTGAACCTTATTTCTATATAGATTTGCCTTTTTTGGAAATTTCATGTAGATAGAATCAACGATATGTTGCCCTTTATGACTATTTTTTCGCTTCGCATGTTTTCAGGTTTTATCAATTTTGTTTTTTTTTTTTTTTTAGGTTTTATCAATTTTGTTTTTTTTTTTTTTTAGGTTTTATCAATTTTGTAGCATATATTAGTAATTCAGTTTTTTTTAATGTAGGGTAATCTGTTGTATGGATATACCACATTTTATCCGTTCTTCATTTGATTGGTTAATTTGGGTAATTTTCTACTTTTTGACCTTTAGGAGTAATGTTGCTGGAAACATTTATGTATAAGCTTTTGTGTGAACATATGTTTTCATTTTTCTTTGCTGTATATCTAATAGTAGAATTGCTAGGGCAAATAGTAACTGTGTGTTTAACCTTTTATGGGATGATCAGACTGTTTCCAAAGCATCTGTACCATTTTACATTCCTACAATCAGTATATTCCAATTTCTCCACATCCTCACCAACTAGTTATTACCTGTGGTTTTGATTATAGCCATCCTACTGGATATGAAGTGGTAACTCACTGAGGCATCCATTTACTTTTAGCTTTCTATATCTTTATATCAAAGTGAGTCTTATATATAGGTGGGTCTTGTTTTGAGCAAGAGAGAGGCAGAGAGGCAGAGACACCGTGCAGAGGGAGAAGCAGGCTCCATGCAGGAAGCCCGATGTGGGACTCGATCCCGGGTCTCCAGGATCACACCCTGGGCTGCAGGCAGCGCTAAACCGCTGTGCCACCAGGGCTACCCCTGGGTCTTGTTTTTTAATTCAGCCTGGCCCATCACTCCCTTTGAAGAATCCATAGTCCATTGAAATTTACTCTAATCATTGATGAAGTTGGATTTAGGTATACCACTTCATGTTTGCTTTTCGTTCACTTCTTTTTTATTCATTTTCTCCACCTTTTCTACCTTCTTTTGTGTATTTTTAATAGTCAAATCTTAATTTGTATTTGGTTCTTTAGTCATACATTTTTTTCTGTGTTTGGTAGCTCTAAAAATAGACATATCAATACTATGTTATTTCATATAAAATGTAGAATTCTTGCATATACTACACTTTGTCATAGTTGCCATATGTATTTCATTTGGATGCATTGTAAACTCCAGAAGACAGGTGTTCTAGATTTTGCTTTAAAGGAATTAAGAGTAGGGACGCCTTGGTAGCTCAGCAGTTGAGCACCCCTTCAGCCCAGGGCATGATCCTAGGGGCCTGGGATTGAGTTCCGTATCAGGCTACTTGCATGGAGCCTGCTTCTCCCTCTGCCTGTGTCTCTGCCTCTCTCTGTGTGTGTTTCTCATGAATAAATAAATAAAATCTTTTAAAAAAAAAAAAAGGAATTAAGAGTAAAAAAATATTTAAAAATTATTTGTATTTACCTGGATGTAAATCATATATGATACCCTTTATTTCTTCCTGAAGATTAAATTTCCTTATAATATTACTTTTCCTTCAGCCAGGACTTTCAGCCTGAACTTCTGTGGCAAATCTTGTAGTGGACCCATCTGAGAACAACAAATTCTCTTTGTTTTGTCTTTTTGAAGGGTATTTTTTGCTGAATATAGAATTCTGTATTGACAGCTTTTTTTTTTCTTTTAGTACTGTCTTCTAGCCTCCATAGTTTTGAATTCAAAGTCAGTATTAATGAGAATCCTTGATTTCCTATATGTAATGTGTAATTTTTATTTGCCTGCTTTCAAGAATTTATCTTTACTTTTATTTTTCAGCAGTTTGGCTACTTTATCCTACTTAAAGTTTCTCTGAGTATTTTAAATCTATAAATTGGCCTTTAGCCAATTAAATTTTTGGACATCACTTCAAATAATTTTCTGTTCTATATTCCCTTTTCTCACATTCCACTTAGACCTTTGTACTATTCCATAGTTCCCTGAGAGGCCATACATCATATCAACTTTTTTTCTTCTGTACTCATATTAAATAATTTTGATAAACTGATCTTCAAGGTCACTTATTCTTTTATCACCTCATTCTCTTCTTAAGCTTAGCCAATTTTTACTTCAGATGTTAATATTTTTCAGTTGTAAAATTTTCGTTTTTTATGATTTATTTTTATCTGCTGAATTTTCTTTTCGTTCATGACAAGCATATTTTCTTTTATATTATTAAATATAGTTAAAATCACTGTTTTAAACGCCTTATCTTTTTTATTGAAGTAAATTGATATACAGTGTTAACATAGTTTTAGGTGTACAACATAATGGTTTGAGAACTCTATGTATTACACTCATCACAGTTGTAGCTACCATCTGTTACTATACAATGTTATTGTAATACCATTGACATATTCCCTATTCTCACTTATTCATTCCATAACTGGAAACCTCTGCCTGCCAATCCTTTTCACTCATTTTATCCACCCCACCATCCTCTCCCATTGGCAACCACCAGTTCTCTTATATTTAAGGGTCTGTTTATGGGGTTTTTTGTATGTTCTATGTTTTGTTTTTTAGATTCCACTTCTATGTGAAAACATGATGTTTGTCTTTCTCTAACTTATTTCACAAGCCAAATACCCTGAATCCATCCATGTTGTCACAGATGGCAATATCATTCTTTTTTATAACTGAGTAATACTCCATTGTTCTTTTCTGCTTATTTGACATTTGGGCCCTCTCAGATTAGGTAGGTCTCCATTGATTGTGTTTTCCCTTGAGAATAGGTCGTATTTTGTTGGTTCTTCCTATGGTGAGTAATTTTGGATTTTATCCTGGACATTGGGAATATTATGTTGTGGAGGTTTTAGATGCTATTATAGCCTCCAAAAAATGCTGATCCTTTTGTCATAGCAGACATTTAACTTGCTTTCGCTTAAACTGTAAATTTGTCTCTTAGGCAGCAGGGTTTTTTTGGGTTTTTTGTTGTTGTTGTTGTTGTTGTTGTTTTTAATCATCCTGTACTGGGCTTCTTACAGTCTGTACTGTCCTATGATTCTTCAGGCCCAAAAGTCTGTGGTTTGTCTACCTGACTTTTAAGACTCTCTGTGTACCACTGATTGTGAAAAGCTCTCAAGTGAAAAACCATAAAAGCAGAAGCACCTTGTTCTGATCATTTTTCCAAGTGTCAACTCCTCTCCAGAATAAGTCTGCTTTTGTTCACTGTCCAGGGCCTCCAAATACTTTTTTTTTAATTTTTTTTTAATTTTTATTTATTTATGATAGTCACAGAGGGAGAGAGAGAGAGAGGCGCAGAGACATAGGCAGAGGGAGAAGCAGGCTCCATGCACCGGGAGCCCGATGTGGGATTCGATCCTGGGTCTCCAGGATCGCGCCCTGGGCCAAAGGCAGGCGCCAAACCGCCGCGCCACCCAGGGATCCCCCTCCAAGTACTTTTGTTCGTTGTTTGTTTATATTTTTCCTAGAGTTATAATTGTTACCTTGAGAGTCAATCTCTAGGAATTTACTTGTCCATACCAGAAGCTGAATTCCTTGTCTTTAATTCTGAACATACCTAGATTATGAACCTTTAATCTTGTGAAAAGTTCTAATTCTTTAGGAAATTTCACATTTAAATCTTTTACACTTAATTGAACTTTTAACAAACTTTGTTGGCTTTTTTATTCTAGACCTCCGATTCTTTCATAGATAATGTTCCTGAGAAAGATCTCAGACCAAAAAGAGATACAGATATAACATCTGAAAGCGACTATGGCAACAGAAAAGAATGTAATAGAAGAATTTCTCGAAGATCAAAAGTCCCATATTATTCCAAAACTATTCAGACTATTAAGCACCACACTAAAAACAACAACCCTTTTATGAGGTAATTGTTTTAGTTTCAGAAATCCAATAAGGCACACAGGCAGAAGTTAATACTGTTAACTTGTTCCTTTAAGCTTTTTCAGAGTGGTATTTCTTAATCTTCTAATATCAGAGATTTGACTTCTCAGCCTTGCTGATTCAGATTTGTTCACTATATTTATTTAAAATTATACAAAAGGATGCTTTTCTTTGATAGACTGCCATTTATCCAGGTTGTGAAAAGTTGTATAAGTACTGTATATTTCTTTGGGTCATTACCTATGTTTTATTCTTTGCAGTTGTAATCGTAAAATGAAACAACCTTTCTTTAAAGAATTATATGTAAGATCATCTTTAGCAAACTGTAATATGTTAGAAGAATCAGAAGAACAGAAGACTGAAATCATTAAAGTAGACAAGAGTAGTTCAGAAGACACCACTTACCGGGTATGTATGATATGAAAGGTCAAGGGGGCATCTGGTTGGCTCAGTCGGTTAAGTTTCTGACTTGTGATCTCTCTCAGCTTGGGGCTTGATTTCAGAGTCATGAGTTCAAGCCCTCATTGGGCTGCATGCTGGGAGTGGAACCTACTTTAAAAAAAAGAGGGAGGGGGGGTGCCTGGTGACTCAGCGGGTTAAACGTCAGCCATTGGCTCAGATCAGGATCTCGGGGTCCTAGGATAGAACTCTTCACCCGGCTTCCTGCTCAGTCAGGAACCTCCTCCCTCTCCTCCCTGCTTGTGCTCTCTCTCACTATCTCCATCTCTCTCAAATAAATAAGTAAAATATTTTAAGAAAAAAAATTAATGTGAATAATCTTAGTTTTAAATATGAAATTAGTCCCAGTAAAATAACGCATGTTTTTATGAGCAAAAGATATTGCATATAACTTACTGGGGTGAGGGGCACCTGGGTGGCTCAGTGGTTGAGCGTCTATCTGTGGCTCAGGTCGGGGTCCTGGGGTCCTGGAATAGAGTCCCTTATCAGGCTCCTTGTGGGGTGCCTGCTTCTCCCTCTCCCTGTGTCTCTGCATCTCTCATGAATAAAGTCTTTAAAAAAACTTTTTTTTTTTTTACTAGGGTGATAGATTGGGTTATTTTTCCCTTCCTGATTTCCAGATTTTGTATATTTTTTTGAGTTGTAAAGGAATGGAAATTATACATTTAAGGTCAGATTATATTTTATTTATTTATTTATTTTTAAAGATTTTATTTATTCATTCATGAGAGACAGAGAGAGAGAGAGAGAGAGAGAGAGAGAGAGAGGCAGAGGGAGAAGCAGGCTCCACACAGGGAGCCCGATGCAGGACTCGATCCCAGACCCCCAGGATCAGGCCCTGGGCCGAAGGCAGCACTAAACCACTGAGCCACCCAGGCTGCCCTTAAGGTCAAATTTTAGTGAAATCATTTGTTATTTGCTTGTGGAGGAAAAAAACATAAAAATTTTCAAATTCTTCTTAAAGCAGTGGTTCCAAACTTTTGGGTCTCAGACCCTTTTTTAAATAAGTTTACGGGTCTTCTCAGAGAAACTTTGTTTTTTTCCTTTTATAAAGATTTTATTTATTTATTCATGAGAGAGACAGAGAGGCAGAGACATAGGCAGAGAGAGAAGCATGCTCCCTGCAGGGAGCCCAGTGCGGGACTCCATCCTGGGATTCAGGGATCACAACCTGAGCCAAAGGCAGAGGCTCAACCACTGAGCCACCCAGGCATCCCTTCTCAGAGAAACTTTCAAACACTAAAAATGTGTATAATTTCAAGGTTTTTCATGGACTCTGCTGAAATCTAGTTTTGGGTGTATGGATCCCAGATTAAGAGGCCTTCAAGAAGCGTACCCTGCTGACTCAGTCGTTAGAGCACAAGACTCTTGGTCTCAGGGTTGTCAGTTCAAGCACCATGTTAGGTGTAGAACTTGAAAAAAAAAAATGAAGAGGCTTTCAGGAATTTAAATATTCTTCAGTATTTGCCTTAATAATCCTCATGTTAAGATTTTTTTTTTTTTAAGATTTTATTTATTCATGAGAGACACAAGAGAGAGGCAGAGACACAGGCAGAGGGAGAAGCAGGCTCCATGCGGGGAGCCTGACATGGGACTCGATCCCGGGTCTCCAGGACCACACCCTGGGCTGAAGGCAGCACCAAACCACTGAGCCACCCGGGCTGCCCCTCATGTTAAGAATTTTTAGTACACATTGATTTGTATTTTTCTAACATTAACTTGCCCTCGTTTTATTTGTGAAGTGCAAATTACACTTTCAATTGTAATGTGCACTGTTCTTCCAATAGTATGATTGCTTTTTTTTTTTTTTAATTTTTATTTATTTATGATAGTCACACAGAGAGAGAGAGAGAGAGAGGCAGAGACATAGGCACAGGGAGAAGCAGGCTCCATGCACCGGGAGCCTGACGTGGGATTCGATCCCGGGTCTCCAGGATCGCGCCCTGGGCCAAAGGCAGGCGCCAAACCACTGCGCCACCCAGGGATCCCGTATGATTGCTTTTTTAACAGTTTCAAGCCTTTCATGCCATTGATTTCTTCCCCATGTTCTCAAGTATAGAGACTTTGATGTTTGAAAAATAATTCTCATTGGGACAACAATAATAACCACTAACGTTTATTGAGTGCCTATTATGCACCTCACACTGTTCTGCACTGTTCTATATACTTCTGTTAATTCTTACCACAGCCCTTTGAATTAGATAACTGTTATTCCTATATTATAAATGAGAAAATTGAGGCAGTGAAAAGTTAGGTAACATTTCCAAGTTCATATAACACTTTAGTTTTCTTCCAGTCACTTGTTGAACAACTAGACCAAGAGAGAGAGAAGAGATGGAAGGCTGAACAAGCTGAGAAGAAACTTCTGGATTATATTGACGAACTGCACAAACATGCAAGTGGAAAAAAAGCTCTTCATAGCCTGGCTCTACTTACTACAGATAGGTAAGGAAAAGTCTATAAACCTAAAGATTTCCTAATGCAAAGAATACTGAACTTGGAACTGGAATACCTTAGTTTACACTAGGTATAGTAAGATCAAAAGCAATGTCTGTGTTGTCCATATTTACCATATTACATATTCATTTTTTTCTTGAAAATTCAGCTTCAGTCTTTTCTGGTTCTATTTTTATTTATACTTCAAATGTTTGGCATTAGATCCTCACACGTTTTCATATTCCCTTATGTGACTTGGTAGGGACTTTGCATTCCTCATCCCTAATACAGAGTATATCATCTAGGTGCCATGAGTATATATTATTTCAAAAACTGAATCTTTTCTATTATGCTTTTAATACCTACTCTATAAGCTCCCAAATCTTTATCATCTAGACTTCCTTGATGAAGAGATATGATCAGCTAATTATCTACTAGAAGTACCTTGTGTACATTGCTCATAAGTCTCTTAAATCAGCATATCCATAACTATACTTATCCCACTCCTTATTCTGTGTTCTCCGTCCTAATAAATGGTGTCTCATCTAGTCAGCCACTAAAGCTAGCAATTCAGGAATCTTTTGTTTGTTTCCTTTCTTGTTCTCCTATCCCATAACCAGTTGGTATTGATGTCTTCTTTATTCTACTTATTAAAAGAGGTTGAACTATGTTTTCTTTATCCCAAACTTCTGCCTTAATTTAGGCCCTTATCTCTTGCTTAAATGATTGCTCTAATTCTACTGCTCTGTAGCTACTCTGTCCCCATCCACCATATAGTCTACAGAATAAAGTCCAGTACTCTATAGTATACCAAACTGAAGTTGAGAGAGTGAACAAAGGAAGACCAGTTCAGAGACTAATCTTAAAGAAGATGAGAGATAGTAAGGATAAGAATTGGAGAAATGACAAGTACAGAAGCTGATGGATATATAGACTTTTTCAATTTTGGCTTGGAAATTACAGTAGAGGGCAGCCCTGGTGCCGCAGCGGTTTAGCGCTGCCTGCAGCCCGGGGCGTGATCCTGGGGACCCTGGATCAAGTCCCACATCAGGCTCTCTGTATGATGCCTGCTTCTCCCTCTGCCTGTGTCTCTGCCTCTCTCTCTGTCTCTATGAATAAATAAATAAAATCTTAAAAAAAAAAAAAAAGGAAATTACAGTAGATGCATATAGGAGTGGCTACCTAGCTCAGTAATTTCTTCGTGGGGCTGTCTTTGCTATTTGTTGTCTCATTTTCAAAAGTTAGACTTGTATTCTATCATCATTCGCCTCCCTGCCTATAATACTGGTCTAGAGATGAACACCTGACCCAGGCTGGGTAAATATGTCTTAGTCCATGGCCAGAGTGATTGGTGTATCTAGTGGTCATAGGATCCAAATTGGACTAATCAGAGCCTTTCCTAGAATTCTCCTAAGCTGAACTAGAGAAAGATAATCTTTTCTATTTGGTCCTCAGAGCTGTTAGAATGTGAGTCCAGGGATGTTTGTAGCTTTTTCCTTCTCTCCTTCATACTTTACAAGGAAGCCTACAGGAGGAGAAATGGAAACCAGCCTATAGAAAAAGTAGTGTCCTTATGGTCTTCACGTCCTTGATTTTGGTGGTCCCTCAGAATAATGCACCCCATCCTCTGAATAGGTTATGTAAGTCAGTAAGTTCTCCCCCCCCCCCTTTTTTTTTTTTTAGATTTTATATATTCATGAGAGAGAGCTAGAGAGGCAGAGACACAGGCCGAGGGAGAAGCAGGCTCCATGCAGGAAGCCCTATGCAGGACTCGATCCCGGGACTCCAGGATTACGCCCTGGGCCGAAGGCAGGCGTTAAACCACTGAGCCACCCAGGGATCCCCAAGTTCTCCCTTTTAACCTAAAGTAGTTAAGAGTTTTCAATTGTAATCAAAGGGCTCTAACTGATAGAAAGCTAGGATCAATACTTTGTGTCTGGGAAAGATACAAGGAAGTCAAAGTTAACTTTTAGTCATCTTTTTATGTATCATTTTTCTCTTACAGCTTTATAACTGTATTCTAGTCTGATTCCTCTCCTAGATGTTGAACTTTATCTTGAAGTCACAGGCTTTATCTTAATCCGTTTTACTTGCTTTGAAGCCCATACTTAGCACAAGGTCTGACACAAATTAGGTATTTAGTGAAGTTTTGCTGTTGGATAGTAAAGTTCATATAAGATAAGGTTTCATTAAGTTATATAGAATTTCCCTTTTGGCACTGTGTTAATTTCAGGGACGGGAGAGAAGCATATTATAATGTTTTTCAGCCATTTTTACTGAAGAGTTTCTGAAACATATTTCAAATCTTCCTCTTTACTGTAATCTTTAATTTTACCTATAATTTTTATCTTTTTGTATACATAATGTACTTACAGCTATGTTTGATTTCTGCTTTAGGCTAAAGGAAATTATTTTTAAAGAGAGAAATTCCAAAGTACAACTCGAAGTTATGGTTCACAGACTTCAAAATGAAATAAAAAAACTAACTATTGAATTAATCAAAGCAAGGGATCAACAAGAGGATCACATTAGACACTTAAGAACCCTGGAAAAAGCATTAGAAAAAATGGAGAGGCAGAAAGGACAACAGCAAGCAGCACAGGTATTTCTCTTCTTTAATCTCTGAGTCCTATGAATTAACACAAATTATAACTTTCATCTTGAAACATTATATTGTTACAGAGTAAACTTAAAAGTTATTAGGCTATATGCAAAAATTAATTTAAACATAACAATTCCTATGGGATCCTTTTTTTTTTTTTTTTTAAGATTTTATTTAAGTAGTTTCTTTACCCAACGTGGGCCTCAAACGTATAACCCCAGGATCAGGAGTCACATGGTTTACCGACTGAGCCAGTCAGGAGCCTCCCTCCTGCCCCCCCACTGTGGAAGTATTACAGAATGTTAGGCTTGTGTTCTGAGAGCCAGGTTTTAAAAGTCTCTTTGGGGAGCTTGAAGATAGATACTTCATTTTCATACCTTTTTTTTTTTTTTTTAAGATTTTATATATTTATTCATAGAGACCCACAGAGAGAGAGGCAGAGACACAGGCAGAGGAAGAAGCAGGCTTCTTGCAGGGAGCCCAACGTGGGACTCGATCCCAGGTCTCCAGGATCACAACCTGGGCCGCAGGTGGCGCTAAACCTTTGCACCACCAAGGCTGTCCCCCCCCCCCTTTTTTTTTTAATTTTTTATTTATTATTCATGAGAGAGAGAGAGAAAAGCAGAGACATGGGCAGAGGGAGAAGCAGGCTCCCTTCAGGGAAACAGATACAGAACTTGATCCCAGGACCTTGGGATCATACCCTGAGCCAAAGGCAGATGCTCAACTGCTGAGCCACCCAGGCCTCCCTCATTTTCATGCTTTCTGAGTGGAAATTATTGAGACGTATGATGTAATTAAGCAGTAGTTAATGTTAGTATGTTTGATGCTTCTAAGCCTATTCTTTATGTGATCATAGTATCATTAACTTAGTAAATTTTGAAAATCAACTTAGTCACCAGGTCCTATTATTTAGAAGGTACTTTTCTTTGGCATTAAAATAGAAGCAGGGAGAATATTATCTAAATACAGTAATTGTGCATATTTACTCAGATGCGACTTATCCAAGAGGTGGAGCTCAAAGCTGCTGCTGCTGATAGAGAAATAAACTTACTTAGAACTTCTCTTCATCAAGAAAAGGAACAAGTGCAGCAACTTCATGAACTTCTTGCTTTGAAAGAACAAGAACACAGGTAAATGAAACCAAACTGCTTAGTTCCTCCTTAACCCTGCTCTCTCTTACCTAAAACTAGACTGATTGATCAGTGGTAAAATCTAACAGAACTAGTTCATGGAAAATAACATGTTTGTGTATGCTTTAAAATCAGTCTTACAGGGCAGCCTGGGTGGCTCAACAGTTTAGCGCCACCTTCAGCCCGGGGCATGATCGTGGAGACCCGGGATCGAGTCCCACATCAGGGTCTCTGCACGGAGCCTGCTTCTCCCGCTGCCTGTGTCTCTGCCTCTCTCTCTCTCTCTCATGAATAAGTATAATCTTTAATTAATCAATCAGTCAATTAATTAATTAATTAAAATCAGTCTTACAGTAAGAACTAATAGCTTAAAAACAAATAGGTGGCAGGACGCCTGGGTGGCTCAATGGTTGAGGGTCTGCCTTTGGCTCAGGGTATGACCCAGGGTGCCGGGACCAAGTCTCGCATCAGGCTTCCCGGAGGGAGCTTGCTTCTCCCTCTGCCTGTGTCTCTGCCTCTCTGTCTGTGGCTCTCATGAATAAATAAATAAAATCTTAAAAAAGAAAAAAAAAAGTGGCTTTACTGAGGGTAAGAGCTTATAACAGGCTTATTTTGCATTTTTCCAAGCTCAACCAAAAGTTGGTCATTGTAATACAGAGAAAACTGTTTTAATTGACCTCTGAGTAACTACCTATTAAATTAATCAATAGTCTATTCCTCTGAATTGCAGATGTCAATGGACTTTTTCTGTGAAGGGCCAGAGAGAAAACTTTTCAGGCTTTGCAGGCCATAACTCACTATATTTTTATAGTTAAAAAAAGTAGCCATAGGTAACAAATGGGCATGGCTCTGTTCCAGTAAGTTTATTTCCCCCCCAAAAAATAGTTGTCAGGGCAGATTTGGTCCATCAGTGTAGTTTGCTGGCCCTGTTCTATGGACTCCATGATAATTTAAACACTTGCAGCTAGTTATCTACTTACTGCCCTACCAGTTGAATTGTATATTTGCCATGGGTTAATTGTTCCCAAGCCTGTTGTGTTTTTGCTCTTACATAAGTGAAATTTTTAAAGTATAAATTAAATTTTGATGCACTGGGGAAAATTGTCATATGCAGGGTAGAACAACTATAAAAAAAAAGTTGGGGAAATAATTGTAAAAATCTAAAATTTTGCAATTAGTTTCCTTTAGGAATGTCTTTTAACTTCTTGTTCTAGTTCAAAAGAAACAAAAACTAGGGATGCCTAGGTGGCTCAGCAATTGAGCATCTGCCTTTGGCCCAGGGCGTGATCCCGGGATCCCGGGATCGAGTTCCACATTAGGCTCCCTGCAAGGAGCTTGCTTCTCCCTCTGTGTCCCTGCCTCTCTCTCTGTCTCTCTCATGAATAAATAAATAAAATCTTAGAAAAGAAAAATGAAAACTAGAAATAGTGAATTTTGTATTATGGGTTTGACTTATTCGTGAAAAATAATGGAGAACTCTAAAGAATGAACTCACATTTAAATTTTTAAAAAGTTTATATATCGAAAGATTGGTAAATAATTGCCCACTTTAACTGATTTTTTTCTATTAACCAACCACCAGTACCAGACAGACTATATTAGTTGTGTGTCAAAGGTTCAGACAAAGTAGAAGAAGATAGAGTGAAGTAGAACTTGATTTCTACAAATGCACCTAAAGAATTTTAGAAGCTATACAACAATTCTGAACTATCTCAGTTAAGATATGGCATAGTCCTTTTATCCACATCCCAACTAAATATACAATCAAATAAAACTTGTATTCTTCCTCTAACTACTTTCCTGTGCCAGTTTCAGTGCTTGAAAGTGAGGAGCTGATTTTATTTTTTTTTTTTTTTTTTAATTTTTATTTATTTATGATAGTCACAGAGAGAGAGAGAGAGAGGCACAGAGACACAGGCAGAGGGAGAAGCAGGCTCCATGCACCGGGAGCCCGATGTGGGACTCGATCCTGGGTCTCCAGGATCGCGCCCTGGGCCAAAGGCAGGCGCCAAACCGCTGCGCCACCCAGGGATCCCGAGGAGCTGATTTTAAATTAACAATAGAGAATATAGAATATTTAGTAACTAATTAAAGGCCTTGAATGTTTTTCTTTCCAAGTGAAAAGAATGCTATGATTTTTATTTGTTTTTCATTCCAGGAAAGAACTTGAAACAAGGGAGTTTTTCAGTGATGCCGAGTTCCAGGAAGCCTTAGCTAAAGAAGTAGCTAAAGAAGAGAGAAAGCATGAACAAGATATAAAAGAATACCAAGAAAAAATTGATACGTTAAACCAACAATATATGGATTTAGAAAATGAATTCCGTATTGCTTTAACTGTTGAAGCCAGAAGATTTAAAGATGTAAGAATTGGCATCTAGCTTTTTATTGAAAACAGAATCAGCAAGATATAGTTGGATGAGAGGACTACATTTTAGAATTCTAGCTCTATTTACATGTTGGCTATATTATTTTAAGCAAATTAAATTCTTGGAGCCTTAGTTTCTTTACATAAATATAGCCACTCTTCAGTGCTGTTGCAAAAACTAAGTGAAATTGTAAATGGTCAAGTAAATGAGTGCTAGAATAGTAATGGGGGCAGCCTGAATTCTTCTATTCCTATGAGCAGGGATTAGCAAAATAAAGCCCCTGGGCCAATTTTTATAAATACAGTTTTACTAGAACACAGCCACAGAAACAAATAGTTTCTCAGTATTTGGAGAACTGCTATTTATAATGCAATTTTGAAATATAGGTTAAAGATGGTTTTGAAAATGTTGCAACTGAGTTAGCAAAGAGCAAGCATGCTCTTGTTTGGGCTCAACGAAAAGAAAATGAATCTTCCTCTTTAATTAAAGATCTGACCTGTATGGTGAAGGAACAAAAAACAAAACTTGCAGAAGTCTCGAAATTGAAACAGGAAACAGCAGCAAATTTACAGGTAAAACATTACAACATTATATTTCATTTTAGATTTTTTTACATCATTGTCTCAAGTATATTGTGATGATTTTAGAAAGTAACAAAATTATAAATTTTTAAATAATGCTAATTATGTATTTGATGTATATGAGAAAAGTAATACAGGATATTAAACCATGATTTCACAGATTGTATAGCTTACACTAAAATAGTGTAAGTATTTAGTATAAGTAATAGTATTTAAGTAAAATAAGTGAATTTAAGAAATGTGTACTAAGCAAATAGATGCCATTTGTACAGTATAACAGCAAAAATTGTGATGGTGATGCTCAGATGGTTGAAGTTTGGGAAATACCACACAAATTGCAGATAATTTTTTGGTGGTGATGGTTGGTTTTAGATATATCTGATTACGATAATTTTTAAATTAACTTTTTTAGTGCTCTTGTTTCAATTTTAAACATTAGTGGTATTTTGCCTAAGAGAACTTAATTCTTAAAAGTGACCTTTAGATTATTAATATAAATGCTTGGTGAGAAAATTTGAGTATTACATGTATAGTTGCTCTTTTTAAGATACTGATATTAGAATAAAATTAATAAAATTAAGAGTTCTTAAAGGAATAGTCTCTTAAAATTTGACTTTTTATTTTATGACCTATATCTATCTTAATAAAATCAAAACTTTTTCTGATGTAAAATTTAGGAGCATTTACTTTGTATTTGTTCAAATAACATTTTTCCTAATAAAACACAAAAAATGAAAAATAAAGTAATTAAATGTAGTAATTATTTTGCTTTTTTTTTCTCCAATGTTTTTGGGGATATACAGAATCAAATCAACACCCTTGAAATCTTGATTGAAGATGACAAGCAGAAGAGTATTCAAATAGAACTTCTCAAGCATGAAAAAGTCCAGCTTATTTCTGAGCTAGCTGCCAAGGAATCACTAATTTATGGTTTAAGGACAGAAAGAAAAGTATGGGGACATGAGCTGGAACAACAGGGTAAAATTTTCAAATTTTCAAAGGGAAACTAGCCAGCCTTCTAGACCAACAAATCTGGGTATTGAGGGATGCCTGGGTGGCGGTTGAGCGTCTGCCTTTGGCTCAGGGCATGATCCCGGAGGCCCAGGATCAAGTTCCACATCAGGCTCCCTGCATGGAACCTGCTTCTCCCTCTGCCTGTGTCTCTGCTTCTCTGTGTCTCTCATGAATAAATGAATAAAATCTTTAAAAAAGAAAAAAATCTGGGTATTGATGAGAAGAGGGCTTATTAACTCTGCCCTAATACACATGAAAAATAAGGTGACTCTTTATATGGAAAGATAAGTAGGCATTTGCCAGCCAAACAGCCAAATTATATGCCTCCTAAGGTGTGAATATATTACACTAGTTATGAAGTTAGAGCTCTGATGTGGTGGTGGTGGTGGTTTTCTTCCCAATATAATTTGGTTCCTTTTCTGAACAGGTATACCTTTACAGTGCTACAACTAAGTCATTGGAATAACTCTTTCTAATACAGTGATTTTAAATTATACAGTATTCTAAAAAAATTTTTTTCTAAAATGTTGTAACATTTGTGTGGAGAAATGTGCGATAGTGTATGAACGAAAACCAATTTAGGTTTAGGTAAATTTACTTAGTCTCCTTTCTTTTCCTATCACTATAAAGCAAGAGATAGACACTGTTTTATGGCATTTGTAGATACTTTACAAATTATGAATAGCTAAATGTTAGTTTTAATGGAGAATTTGCTCATTTGTCCTTTCCATTTGAGAATCTTGAATATGATATTTTTGTTTGAATGCCATAATTTGACCAATTAAGTATTACCTGTCTGAGTTCCTTGTTTTTGATTTGTAGTTGTAGGTTTTCCAAATAGCAACAGGTATTTAAAAGGCCTTTGGGTTCTCTTCACCTTCCCTTTCTATTCTGCTTTGTGTATTTTGAGTTTTTATTTAGATTTTCTTTTTATTTACTGTATTACACATTGTTAAAATAGATGTTCATAAAATACAAATCCTCCAAGGTCTTTTACAGTTTGGTACTGATGATGTTTATTTCTCAGGTACATCTCTCATCTCAAATCGTGGGAAATTAGAGGCTCAAATTGAAAGTTTATGTAGAGAGAATGAGTCTTTAAGAAAAACAAATGAATGTGATAATGATGCATTAAGAATTAAGTGCAAAATCATAGAAGACCAAACTGAAACCATTGGAAAATTAAAAAGTGTAAGTTTGATACCTTATTTTGGGAAAAGAGCATGTGGCAGATTGCAAATCTCTGGATCAAATTATGCAATAAATATCTGTCTCAAAGGATCCAGACTGTTGGAGAATTTGGGACAGATTATCATGTATTTCCTGGTATAATATATGCCCTTTGCCTTTTAGAAAGACTGTAAGGCTTTTATTTATTAATTTTTAATTGCTTTTACCTCACAATTTTATGGGATAATATTATTGCGGCCTGTGAAATAACTGGAAATAGTGTCAATAAAGGGTTAGGAATCTTAAGAAAATTCATGTTTTACCTATTTCAAACCCCCTTTTAGAGCATTGTTTAGGATCTTCCAGTGTTGCTAAATCACTTCTCAAAAACTATTCTATATTTAAAAACATAGTTTGTAAAAGATTCATGCTTGTTCCCAGGGAAAAACATTTTTACTCTCTCCTTCAATATCTTAAGAGAGATAACTAAAAGGATTGCTTGCTTCAAAGTATGTTACATGGGTGCCTGGGTGGCTCAGTTGGTTAAGTGTCTGTCTTCAACTCAGGGCATGATTTCAGGGTCCTGGGCTAGCGCCCTGTGTTAGGCTCCCTGCACAGTGGGGAGTCTGCCTCTCTCCCTCTCCCCCTCCCCCTTGTTTGTGTACAAGTGTGTGTGCACACATGGGCACACACACTCAAATAATAAAAATCTTTTAAAAAAAAAAAGCATGTGACATGAAAATTTTCCAGGGAAATTTTTTGAAAGTTACCTTGAGCACCAAATCAAATTGATCTCCAGAATTTTCTTTAAGAGATTCTCTCTTAAAGTATAAAAACTGAGAAGAGTTTTTAAGAAACTTCTAAATGAGATTAATACCCATTGAAGTTAATTTTCTTCAAAGTAGCAATGATTACCTAAGATTTACTTTTCTTTTTCTAAGTCCTTTTTTAAAATCTCCTTGAGAACTTTATCAAGTACAGAAAATAAACATTTATCACCGTGTTGCTATATCCATAGTTAGATTTAGGCTGTGTATGCCTGAACTATATCACCCTAAATAATTACATCAGTATTCTCTCAGCTGAATTTGGCTTCAATATATCCATAATTTCAAATATATCAGTCATACATGCCAAACTGCAGTGAAAATTATTGAAGTGCAGTAAGCCTTTTTTCTTGTTTTAGAAGCCTAGCCAAACATGTTTTCCTTTGAGTTAAGCTAAATATGAAACACAAAGACTTGTGATTTGCTTTTAAATTTCACAAGGCAAAGCAGATGATATGCTGGTCATAATACGTTGTTTTTGACAAAGCTACTTCCATGGAAGACTACTGTCTTTTCAATCTCTGAGCGGGAAGGAAATGACTAGTAATGAATGATACAGTTGATCTGAAACACAGATGAGTTTTAGTTTTAGATTTGGAGTTTTTAAAAAAAAAAACTTCAGCCCATTGTTTTTTTTTCCACAATTTACTACATTTACTCTAAAGAACATTGCATCAGCCTCAAAGATAAAAGGATCAATGGTACTTTCCCACTAATCATATAACAGATAGTTTGGCATAATTTCTTTCAGCAGTAAATTCATCATCACTAATACCTAAAATGAGTAATGACCCTTAACCTTTGTTAAATTAGATGTTCATAAAATAGAAATCCTCCTGGTCTTTCCAAGTTTGTTACTGATGTTTCTCAGGTTTGTCTCTAGCCCAAAATAATGGGAAAGTAGGGGCTCAGACTGAAAGTTTATGTAGAAAAACAAGTCTTCAAAAGGCAAATGAATATGATAATGATATTTGACGTTTTCAGTTTGGAGTTTGATATTTTCAGTTAAATAGATTCTATAATTAGCTTCTGACTATGGAAATCAGAAGCCGAAATTTTTTTTTTAATTGTTTCCTCCCCATATGTTATTTTCGTACTTTTTTGTATATGTGCCTCACAGTACTCTCCGGTGATGCAATGCTTGTTATTTTTTTTTTTTATAACTCTTTTGGACTCTTGTAATATGTGTCAAGACTGCTCATTCTTAAGTGCTTCAGAGAGTCATGGGGAGAAAATAAACAATTCATGACTTTTACGCAATTGTTGGTCAAGACTACAAGACTACCCAACATCTTGCTTTAGAATTTTTAGATATGTAACACACCGAGGAATTGAACCACATTCCTTATAATACTTATGAATACATACTTAAGTTAGCCTTTTCCCGTATTTGATTGCCTCTGTCTTCTTCCCAGAAGGATAAAGGGGGGGTGGGGGGGGGCAGAGAAAACAGGTTATAAAAATCAGAGCCACCAATTTCATCTTTTCTCACTCGCAGAGACTGATACCAGTAGTTGGTATATCAACAGGGCTATTTCAGGCATCCAGTCATGCCCTCATAAAGCAAACAAATGTTCACTGGAATAAATAACCTATATGAAGCCTAGTACCTGCAAACATTTAACAGTACTTACGGTGGTTTTGATCGTTTATGATCCTTTGACTTGTATCCTGTATGTAAATCTAGGCTAAAGTCTGGCTCACAGTATAGAAGATAGAAAAAAAAATGTTTTGGGAGATATAAGACCTGTTTTTATGTGACATTTTATGTTTTAATTTTTTTTTTTTTTTTAAGATTTTATTTATTTGACAGAGCACAAGTAGGGGGAGCTGCAGAGGGAGAGGAAAGAGCCGGGAGTCTGATGTGTGGGGCTCTCTGGTGTGTGGGGCTTGATACCGGGACCCTGGGATCATGACCTGAGCTGAAGGCAGATGCTTAACCAACTGAGCCACCAGGTGCCCTTTATGACATTTTAATAGTGATAAAATCATATTTTATTTTGAAGAAAAGTATTTGTTCATCCTGATGCAGAAAGCACTTCTGTTTAATACAGTTGAAATAGCAGTTTAATTTGTGCCATACATAACTGTGAATATCAGTCTTTGATGTATCAGTCACTCACCCAGAATTTTCTGTTTCTGTCATGAAAGCATCTTTTCTAATGCAAAAGTGGTAATTATGCTGCTTTCTTTTCCTTTCCTCTCCCTCTATGATTGATAATTGCTACTTACTGAAATAAAAAATGTGAAGGGGATAAAAATTTAATTTTTCTTAATAGCATTAAAGTAGTAGTGATGTTTCTTATTGATTGTGATTTTAAAATGTCCTGTAAATCTCTTTGAAAACATTTGATAAAAATTCATTTTAATTTTTTAATCTGAGATTTTTAGGACAGTGTTAAGCCATATCTAAACAATTAGAAAATGAGACATTTAGGGTTAATAAAAGTAAAGTGCTGATTTTTTTCTTGAAGTGTTTACAAGAACGAGAAGAACAAATCAAAATATTACAAGAGAAGATGACTGAAATACAGAAATGTACTCAAGAACAACTTGATGAAAAATCTTCACAACTGGATGACATAATTGAAAAACTAGAAAGACACAATGAAAGAAAAGAAAAACTAAAACAACAGTTGAAAATAAAGGAATTAGAACTTGAGGAAATTAGAAAAGCTTACAGGTATTATACAGTGTAATACTGTATTATACAGTAATTCCTGTTGAGAAATAAAATGTGGCTAAATAATTTCATATAACTGGTTTTTTTTCTAAATTGTTTTTGTATTAGTACACTTAATCAGAAATGGCATGATAAAGGAGAGCTTCTAAGTCATCTTGAAATGCAAGTAAAAGAAGTGAAAGAAAAATTTGAAAACAAGGAAAGGAAACTTAAAGCAGAAAGAGACAAAAGTATTGAACTACAAAAGTAAGCACTAAGTCCTAAAGTATGTGGGAGATCTTTAAATATAATATACACTGAATTGGGATGGGTGAGATATGGAAAACGAAGGAAAGAGAAAAGGGCTAAACACATGTTGGACTTTGTTATTTGCCAAGTACTTTATTTCCATTCTGTCTATAAAATGAAGATAATTACAATTCCTACCTCAAATGTTTGATGTGAGGTTTTAGTTTTGTGTATATGTTTCTTTATGTATATAGATATATATAGCTTTTATGAGTTTTTTTAGCCACCCCGATGCCCCATTAGTTGAAAGCCTTAAATGCAGAGCTTATAACTTACCCTTAAGTCAAATGGCTACTAAGTGTTGCAACTGGGATTTAAAAAGACTTGATTAGGGATGCCTGGGTGACTCAGTGGTTGGGCATCTGCCTTTGGCTCAGGGTGTGGTCCCAGAGTCCAGAGATCAAGTTCCACATCAGGCTCCTTGTGGGGAGCCTGCTTCTCCCTCTGCCCCTCTCTTTCTCTCTTTCTCTCTCTCTCTCTCTCTCTCTCTCTCTCTCTCGTCTATCATGAATAAATAAAATCTTTAAAAAAAAAAGACTTGATTCATGAACGTAATGTTCAATCCACTATTACTATGGGCTATTCCAAAAGCAGAAAATGTATTCATTACAGACTTAACTTTTTATAATAAAATTATTCATATTTAATGTAAAGGAATTGGTTTTTTGCCTCTAAGAAACTTAGCACTAAAATTTAGTGAATACTGGTTTTTTTTTTTAAGATTTTATTTATTTATTCATGAGAGAGAGAGAGAGGCAGAGACACAGGCAGAGGGAGAAGCAGGCTCCATGCAGGGAGCCTGACATGGGACTCAATCCCAGGTCTCCAGGATCACACTCCGGGCTGCAGGCGGCGCTAAACCGCTGTGCCACCAGGGCTGCCCTAGTGAATACTACTTAATGTATTTACTAACATAGGGTGTTAACTGTTAATCCTTAGCTTAGAGAAGTCAGACACACATAATTCATAAGTTTAAACCTGCCTATAATATATACCTCTCAAATTATCATACTACAAACACATGGAAAAAGAAGATTGATAATAGTCATCTGTGAATGTTTTTATAAATCATATCCTTAGTGGGATCCCTGGGTGGCGCAGCGGTTTGGCGCCTGCCTTTGGCCCAGGGCGCGATCCTGGAGACCCGGGATCGAATCCCACGTCGGGCTCCCGGTGCATGGAGCCTGCTTCTCCCTCTGCCTCTGTCTCTGCGCCTCTCTCTCTCTCTGTGTGACTATCATAAATAAATAAATTTTAAAAAAAAATTAAAAAAAAATCATATCCTTAGACTCCAAATAAATGAGAAGCAAAGTACTCTTAACTTTTAGAGAAAGTGTAACAAATTTTCATAGATGGTATGATGGACGATGAACTACTTATATCTTTAGTTACCCAAGATAGCCCTTTGCTGTTTAATGGAGTTATAATTCCATTAAAATTTGAATATAAGAAGAAAAAATTCCTAATTTTATGCAAAAATATTTAAGAAGAAAAAATTCCTAATTTTATGCAAAAATAAAGATAAATGAGTTTTTTGTTTTTAAGGGATGCGGTGGAAAAGCTTCATAGTATGGATGATGCCTTTAAAAAACAAGTTGATGCAATTGTTGAAGCTCATCACGCTGAAATAGTACAACTGGCAAGTGAAAAGCAGAAATACATCGATTCTGCAAATTTAAAGGTACTATAAACCAAAAGTACAATCCATCACTATTTTAGAAAAAGTTTCCAAACAGTATTTTATTAATTATGGTTTAAGACTATCACTGATCGGGCAGCCCCGGTGGCGCGGCGGTTTAGCACCGCTTGCAGCCCAGGATGTGATCCTAGAGACTGGGGATCAAGTCCCACGTCGGGCTCCTTGCATGGAGCCTGCTTCTCCCTCTGCCTGTGTCTCTGCCTCTCTCTCTCTCTCTCTCTCTCTCTCTCTCTCTCTGTGTGTGTGTTTATCATGAATAAATAAATAAATCTTTAAAAAAAAAAAGACTATCACTGATCATCTTGAATGATACCATTTAATATCAAGATATCATTTGACAGAGGGATTTAGGGTGATGTTATAAATCAGAGGTAGACATCTATATAGAGTTTTTTAATATTACACATTCATGAGCTTCCCCTGAGAGACTTTAATTTCTTAAGTCTCTGTTTAGATCCAGGTATTTTTAAAACTCAACATTTTGGTTTGATATGACCCCTTTGTTGATATCCACTAGATGAGTGGACAGTTATAAATTTCCCTTGATTTTGAAGCAGCACTAATCGCACTAGAAACTGAGCTGTGAGACATAGATTCAGAAATCAATTAACTGGGAAAGAGTTCATGAACAAATTGTAACTCCATATAATTATAATGGCAGTGGTGTGATTAGGTGACATTACCCTCAGGAGTCTGTGAAAAAAGCAGCAACAAGATCTTTGGAAATAATGACAATAAGGAAGTATAACTTGTTCAAAATGTAGTTCTTTATTTTATTTCAGGTCAACAGATGTTTCAGAAGTTTTCTTTAAAATCTACCAAGTGTTAACAAGGGTGCATCAGGTAATACCAAATAAAGATAAGATTAGGCCCTTAGTTGAAAGGAAAATACTGAGTTTAATTTTGGACCTCTGATGCCATTATGATGTGTAATATCAAACGGATGTATCTGTTAGTTGCAGAAATGGCACCAGAGCTTAAATGTGATAATCATGAAAACAATTAAAAATTATTACATAAGGATGATAATTTAAATATTAGTTTTCTAAGAGAAAAGGATTAGGAAATCTATATTAGAGATTAGGAAGCAACAGAAAGGAATGGTCATATTGATAGCATTATCAGAATGTTGTGTCATAGGAGAAAGTTTTAAGCAGAAATTCATAGTATCTAATACAGAGAATCCTAGAAGAATACAGAGGAAGAAATGATAAAATTAACTCTCAAAAAGATGGTAATTTATAGCCAACAGTGATTTTGGAAATGCAATAGACTAGATTAAAGCATTTCTTTGGGAAGGGAGGTAATTTTGGTTTTACAAGTCTATAAGGAACTGATGTTTTAGTTGAACTCATGACTCATTCATATGTAGCACAGGACAGTGGAAAGATTAAGTCAGAAGACTGAGTTTCTGTTCATATGTGCTGAGAAACTGCACATCCTTGAACAAATCTTCTAAGCTCTAAAATACAGTTAAAGTAAATTACCATGTGCTCATCACAAGAATCTGTGAGATCTAGACAATATAAATGTAAGTACTTTTTATAGAATATTAGTATTTGAACAAGTTATGTTATACTTACCTCTTTGCCTTAAATGAATACTACAAGTTAAAAAATTCATGAGAGTAAAGTTTGACTTTTTTTTTCCAGAATGCATTTTTAAAATAGATTTTCTTTAAAAAATTTAAATGTAAAATTTACATGTTGATTTAGGTTCATCGAGTTGAAGAAGAAATGCGTGAACTTCTGCAAGAAACATGCAAGAACAAAAAAGCAATGGAAGAAAAAATTAAGCAACTTGCTCTTGCTCTGACTGAAATTCAGCAAGAAATGTGATAGTTCTGAGAAGGAATTTAATTGAAATGGAACAGCAGACCTATTGTAAAAATTATTAAATATTGTAATAGTAGTAACTGCTATGACTTTGAAATGTCTCTTTCTACACATTTCATTCTGATTATATTTTAAAAGACTTTTGATGAAGTATTTTTTAATTGTATATGTAGGTTTTTATAATAAATTGTTAATTATGTGTTTTAGAAAAACCTATCAAAATAACTAGACTTACAACACTTTCTTGTTTCTGTGCTATACATTGTTTGGTAATTACACATTTGTGTTCAAATATGTAAAAGAAATTAACATTAGTATTTGGACTATATGAGGGAAAGTACTTTCATCGTTGTTACTTTGTTGTGTTGAAGAACTAATTATATTTATTGGTTATCCTTTAGTTGATGTAGCTCCATTTTTTTTAAATGCTCATAAGTGTAGCTGAAAAGTATTTGAAGTCTATATGATAAAAGATGTGGGATTCTTTTTTTTTTAATTTTTTATTTTTTATTTATTTATGATAGTCACACAGAGAGAGAGAGAGAGGCAGAGACATAGGCAGAGGGACAAGCAGGCTCCATGCACTGGGAGCCTGATGTGGGATTCGATCCCGGGTCTCCAGGATCGCGCCCTGGGCCAAAGGCAGGCGCCAAACCGCTGCGCCACCCAGGGATCCCAAGATGTGGGATTCTTAACAAAACATCTCCACATCACTCATAATGACCTCTTTTTTATAAATGTGTATGTCTTCTTCATGAGAGATAACATTTAAGGTTTTATAAACATTGTACGTTCCTCAAAAGGAACGCTACTGTTGCACCTTTATTTTCCCTTCTAATCACACTGTATAGAAAGCTGATTTTCATTTTGCCATCTCTTACGTTGCTATGTATGCAGAACAAAAACCTAAGTACTATTTCTAAAAGAATGAATATAATATCACATTTTTAACTAATAGCCACTGAACTAATTTCTTTGGGTTTTTTGGGGGTTGTTTTGTTTTGTTTTGTTTATCGTGGGGCTGTAATCAAGACCTGAACCGAGATCAAGAGTTGGATACTTAACCAGCTGAGTCACCCAGGCACCCCTGAACTAAGTTTTATTTATTTTTTTATTTTTTTTAAAACTTACTCTTTTTTTATTTTTTATTTTATTTTTTATTTTTTTTTAATTTTTATTTTTATTTATGATAGTCACACAGAGAGAGAGAGGCAGAGACACAGGCAGAGGGAGAAGCAGGCTCCATGCACCGGGAGCCCGACGTGGGATTCGATCCCGGGTCTCCAGGATCGCGCCCTGGGCCAAAGGCAGGCGCCAAACTGCTGCGCCACCCAGGGATCCCCTGAACTAAGTTTTAAAAATTAAATGCAATCAGAAAAAAAATGTAAAGGCTTCTAAAAGAGAGGGCTCCATTTCGTTAGAACAAGCTTCTTATTGAAATCTGTGGGATGACATCAAGCATACCAACATGCACAGTGGGGGTGGGAGGGCAGGGCATAAAAAACAATTGGAAAAATAATAGCTAAAAAATTCCTAAATTTGATGAAAAGATTAACCTGGAAATCCAAGAACTTCAATAATATCCAGGATAAACAACCATACCTAGACAGTTTATAGTCAAACTCCTGGAAATTCTTGAAAGCAGCAAGAAAATATGATTTATGTAAAGGAACAATGTAATTAACTGTTGACTTCTCATCAGAAAGTAAAGACCAAAAAAAGAAAAACAGTAGAGGCCAGAAGGCAGTGAGTAAAACATACTTCAGGTATGGGGAAAAAAGTCAACCGAGAATTCTATATCCCAAAAAAAAGAATCTACATCCAGCAAAACTGTTAAGATAAATGCAAAAAAATGGCATGTTTAGACAATTGACAAAATTTATTGCTGGCCAACCAACCTTAAAAGAAATGTTGGAAATTCTAAAGGCAGAAAGAAAATGATTCCAGACAGTAACTCAAATCCGCTGGAAGAAATGAGTAATACTGGGAACAGTAAACATGTAGTTAAGATCTCATACGACTATATAAATTTATTTTTCTATTGTTAATTAGAAGACATTGTATATAACAACTTTAGTACTATATTGAATTTACAGCACATATAGGTGAGATGTGTGACAAAACAGCATAAAGTCGGGGGGGAAGGAAATAGTTATTAAAGTCATTTATTTTGCTAGATTAATCCTAATCTAAAGGTGACTGATAAAATGCATATTGTAATTCCTACACAGCCACTAAGAAAATAACCCAATCATACTAGAAAAATCAATATAGTAGTTTCCACTTTTAAAATGGCATCACAAGGAACTCTAGATGTATTTTCCAGCAAAACAACCACAACTGGTAAAATTATTATTTTTGTATTTCCTTTTAAGATTGTATTTATTTGAGAGAACAGGAGCAGGTGGAAGGTAAGAGGGAGAAATAGGCTGCCTGCTGAGGGGAAGAGCCCAATATGGGGCTCCATCCCAAGGCCCCAGATCGTGACCTGAGCCAAAGGCAGACACTTAACCAATTGAGCTACCCAGGCCACCTGTAAAAGTATTTTAAAGCACCTATTTAAAGTCTGAAAATTGAAGAGCATACAGCAAAGGAAGAAACATTCCTTCAAGAAAACAACTAAATCTCTGCAAGAACAGCAATAGATTCCTTAAAATGCCTAGTTTTCACCTAAAAAAAAAAAAAAAGACATGCAAAGAAATAGAAAAAGCCGCCTTCAGAGGGTGAAAAAAGCAGGCAAGGAATATAATGTGTAAGAGGTCCCGGATGTTAGATAAAAGAAGACTTCAAAGCAATCATGTTCAAAGGACTAAAAGCATGCTTGAGAAGTGAAGGAAGGTATGCTAATAGTGCTCACCAAATAAAGACATATTTTTTAATGAAATGTTATTTTAAGAGTTCTACAATGCATTTGACCCAGCAGAAAAATATGAATTTGGAGATTATGTTATTTGAAGAAGAGAAAAAATACTGAAGAAAAAAAATTTTACTTTTTTTTAATACTGAAGAAAAGTTAGCAGAACATCAAATGTGGATTGCATTAAGTACACCATCATATAGCGAAGTACCAAAGGAGAGGAGCGAGAAAAGAGTGATATATGTAAATTCTAAATAAAATATATAACCTATAAGAAGAAATAGTGGCTCTCAGCTTGCCAAATTTGATGAAAATCATGAATTTACACTCCAAAGGAGATAACTTCAAGTAGGAAAAATTCATAGCCACACCCACATAGTAAAAATACTAGAAATTGAAAGAAATGTGAGAAGTCCATAAATATTTGCAAATTAAACAGTAACTTCTAAATAACCAATGAGTCCAGTTAGAAATCACAGAGAAAAAGGTGCGCTAGAGGAATGGGCTCTGTATTGACCCGTGCTGTGTCTGGGGGCAGAGGGAAGGGGCATGGCATAAGTAAGAATTAAAGATTCCAGAGGTTTAAAAAATCATTTGGCTTTCTGAGTTGTGGGTCCCAAGAAGGGCTGCCTACACTAACCTGGATCCAAAAATCTTTTTTCCCCCAGTTATATGGAGATATAACTGACCTGTAACATTGTAGAAGTTTAAGGTATACAACATAATGACATATATATATATATAGTGAAGTTATTGCCACAAGTTTAATAATATCCATTACCACACAGCACAGTTTTTTTTCTTGTGATATTTTAACATCTACTCTGAGCAACTTGGAAATATGCAATATACAACTCTTAACTATACTCATCGTGTATACTACATCCCCAGAACTTAAATATCTTATAGCTTTAAGTTTGTACCTTTTGACCACCTTCATTCAATCCCACTCCCACCACTAAAGGATCCAAAATCGTGATTTAAAAGTACCTAGGCTTAAACTCACTAGTCTTCTAGCTTATGTTAGTACATATCAGCCACCAAATTCCTGAAACCAAGATCTGGGTCTTCAATACTGAGCCCCTCCAAGGCTGGGATGTTAGGCATAGAAGTTCCAGTTTAATATACTGGAGGATAATTGGAAAAGATATCTTACCTGCTGTCATCCACTGAAATCCCAAAATGTTCACTCACATGGCCAAACCCTGAGTGTTTGGAGGGATAGCAGTTTATCTTCTCTTTTTTTGTTGAGATACCAGGAAATAAACAGCAGCTGCCACCCTTCCTTCACCAAACCCCACTAATATTTAAATACCATCAATGCAGTGGATGAGGCAGGATTGTCCTTAGGTTGAACTCATTACAAATTCCAGTAAATAAATCTGCAACAATTAATAGTCCATAATTTTGAGGAGTCCACCACCAAAGTTGTGACTACTTAGTTCATTTGGGAGATTTTCATCTAGAAGTCTTGCTATCCCGTCTGATTTGTCATTTATGGGCTACTGATACCACCACTGATGGTGGGCCCAGTTAACTCTTATTTCTCTACTTCTTTGGCAACATGAAACTGCTGCTCAGAGTGAGTAGAGTCTGACTGTATCCTTTATTATGGCTCTGTCACGCTGGTGTTTCCAACATTTATTGTCACATCCTGCGGTATATATCACAGTCTGACCTGATTGCTTCCGGTCAGATAGCTATGCCTTGTCCTGGCTAGAGTCCCTTGCCCAGTCTCTCCACTGTCACTCCCTGAAAGGCGAATCAGGCACACAGCCACCTACAAAGCAAAACAAACACCTATACAATAGAACTTATGACAAAAGCCAGAACGAAAGCTAGAGAAACAAATCTTCCCTGATCTTATCCTTACCTCGGGCTCTTGTTGAAAGATACGATCAGGTTTTCAGGAAATGGTAATCATTATATATATATATATATATATATATATATATATATATATGCATATTATAATATAAATAATGTTTATAAATATAATATAGAAATACAATATATGTTAAGATGTAATATTTATAAATAATATATATAAATCTCCTTTTTATACTCAGTATGCTTTCTTTGGTTTTACTGGAAGTGAATTTTAGGAGGAGCAACCCATGCGGTCTTCTCTGAGACTCATCACATCAAAATGTTCTTTTCTGAACATTGTTTTCCTAGAGGCTGCTGTGCAGTTTTCCAGCATGACTCCTATCAGGCTTTGGAAAAAGATTATATTATGGGTAGTTATATCTGTTATCTGTTTGTAGTTACAACTGTAATTAGACTCAATTTTGCTTTCTCTTTCTTCAAGAAGTGTACAAATTGTAGTCTTCTCTCACACACACAGATCTAATTAAGCAGTGCTTTATAAATGAAGTTGGATTTTTTAAAATTTTATCAAACTCTTGAAATATCCTCTTATTCAAACCTAAAGACATGGTTGTTTTTACAACTTTGAGAATTTAGGGCCTCAATACCATAAGAATTTTTGAAATCTTTCCAGGATTTTTATCACTATCAGGCAATAGGAATTGGGCTCCTTGCTCCCTGCTCAACAGGGAGCTCACTTCTCCCCCTCCCCCGCTTGTGCTCTCTCTGTCAAATAAATAAAATATTTTTAAAAATTACCTCTTT